ACAACCAGACATGAATTGATCATCAAAATATCAACATCATCATTTCGTAATGCAGTATTTTAGTGCCTTCAGCGCAGGGGGGGAATAGCCAGACTGAAAAGCAAAAGCTTCAGTATCAAGAGGGAGTGAATAAGTGAGGAGTTGTATTCGAAATTCATATTTTTTATCTCTTTGGAAGTCCCTTTGAACATCTCCATAGTGTCAAAGAGCCGGTTGTAACATCTTAGTACTGAAAGACTCAAATAACCTAATATTATTTAAATAGTTACTACTAGTTTTTTTTAAACTAAAGTAAGTATTCATTATTTAAGTAGCTGTTTTGGGCTGCCGTAGTAGAGCTGGCAGCCCATGCGGAGGACTGGGGTTCGAATCAGAATACCCAGATTAAGAGTCAAAAGTGAAAGTGTTGCTGGTTCAGAATAACTTCTCCATTAGTGTATATGGTTTACAGTGAGACAATTCCTATAGCTTTTTGACTGTAATTCAGTTAAGATAACCTGCTTAGGATGTTTACATGACTGGTATAATCTAATCTTTAGATCACATGTAAGCATGCTCTTTTCTTTCCGTCTCCACCATGGCCGCCGGCGAAAGTCACCACACATCCCCCCCTCCATCTCTCTCTGTTACTTCTTCCCTCCATCTCAATACTTCAGTGTTCAGGGTGGCAGTCTTAGACAAACTCCACCAGTGCTTGTATAATTGCTTATTCAACGCTGACCCCTGCCCAGTTTAGGAGGGAGGAGGACTGAGAAGGAAGGGGTGGGGGGGGGTAGCTCCAGCGCTCCCCATAGCTGCCAAGGCCCGAGTCAATGTGGAGCCTGTTTTTCGGGATATAAGGGCCGGCCACGGGTCTCAAGCCAGGGCGCTTTCCTGTGGGCCCTCCCCCTCCTCCCTCTTCGTCTTGGTTCTCCTCCTTCTTCCTCCACCCTCCTCTGAGCCCGGCTGGGCCTGGCGCTGGCACAGAGGCCCCTTTGTTGTGCACCCGAGGGCCCGAGCTCCCTCTCTTTCCACAAACCTCCCTCCCTTCTCCTCTAAAGGTCTCCAGGCTTCACAAATATGAGATAATAGGAAAAATAAAGCTGGCCGCTTGTGGTGACTCAGGGCAAAACGTCTGAGTGAAAAATAGAAAGTGAGTGTGAGAGAGAGAGAGAAAAAGAGAGAGAGATGGTATTGTTTGTGAGGTTGGTCGGGGCGAGCTGGACTGAAGTTGTCTCCTCCCACCTCTCCTCTCTCTCCCCTTCTCTCTCCAGCAGCTTCTCAACCAAAAGCTTACTGTGGATCCAAAAGCCTGATGGGGGCTCACTTTAATACACACACACACACCACACACCACACACACACACACACACCACACACACACACACTGTTCCTCTCTCGGCAGGTGGACGGGGTTGTTCTGGCTCGGCTGCAGGGCAGCAGCTTGACTCCGTTTGAGCCAATGAGCCAAGATAATAGCCGACGATTCCAGAGTTATTGTCAGCGTTTCTCCCCCTCTGCTTTTCCCAGAATCCCCCTTGCCGCCGTGCGGGATCGAAATGGGAACCTCACCCTCAGATGAATTAATGCGCTTTTTGTTATCAAATATAACAAGCGTGATTGAAGTGCAGACGGTCAAAACTATTATTGTAAAAGTTTCCAAGTTGATGTTAATATTCCATTTATTTTTAATCCTGTGTAAACATCATATAAGTTTAATAAGGAGCTGGAACAAGCTGATACAGAATATAAATGAATGAATGAATACATGTATCATCACCCCTTCTTTTTTGTCATGGGGGGGGGGGCGGGTGTACTCCCTTTCCCTTAGCTCCCAACATGCACATATCCGGCCTACACCCCTGCGTGGGCACCCAACTCCACCCGCTTACCTCAAACACACACACACACACACACACACACACACACACACACACACACACCCCCTGTACGTCAGAAGAACAGGGAGTAGGTACTCTGATCTTCATGGAAAGCGTTTTGCTGTCCTCCTTTTTGTTGGCCTTTTTTTCCAGGAGTAGACATTTGCTATGTCATCCAACTGTCATGCACATTTTGTAAAAGCTCATGAAAAGTTGCAGAACATAATATCAGGTGCATTTCCATCTACTGGACTGAAAGCTTTGCATGTAAGAGAAGTGCAAAGAGTTGTTTTTGTTTTGTCAGGTATTGGTGGCCATATTTCATACCAACTAACGCTGAAAAACAACCACAATGAGGAGATAATGTGCAAGAGAGGGTTGGACATTTGTGCGGGGTCATGGTTGAGGAGGTCCAAGCAGATCTATTGTTGGCTGCACCTGTGTGTGTGTGTGTGTGTGTGTGTGTGTGTGTGTGTGTGTGTGTGTGTGTGTGTGTGTGTGTGGTGTGTGTGTGTGTGTGTGTGTGTGTGTGTGTGTGTGTGTGTGTGTGTGTGTGTGTGTGTGTGTGTGTGTGTGTGTGTGTGTGTGTGTGTGTGTGTGTGTGTGTGTGTGTGTGTGTGTGTGTGTGTGTGTGTGCGTGTGTGCGTGTGTGTGTGTGTGTGTGTGTCATGGATGACAGTGAATTTCTCATAGTGTTCACCACATCAATCAAAATCTCACTAAAAGCTGCAGCATGCCAACTCTTCTTCTCTCTCCCCTCCACTCCTCTTGCCCATTTCCTCCCATTTTGCCATCCGCCGCACAATGAAAGAGCCTCTTGGCTTTTATTAATAGTTAAAGTGGCCCCGGCCTGTCACTGGGGACAATAACTGCAGCCCTGTTAATAAATAAAAATAATAACTAGGAGATGGAGACAGAGAGGGAGTGCAATGGAAAGAGAACAGGCGACACTGCCATTTGTTGTTCCCTCTCACTTGTCAAAGCTCTTTGGCTTAAAAGCCTCTGTCATTGTTGAGGGAGAGGGGGCTGCAGGGAGAGATGAGAGTGAGAGACGGAGAGAAAGGGGGAGAGAGGGGGAGCGCCAGGGGCTAATAGCACCTGTTGGGGTGATGGTGAGACAGCTGTCGGCGAGGAAGGGGGGGGGGGCACAGGAGCACACTCTTTCTTCCTCTCTACGCATGTTTCGTTCCTGCTTCTTTCTCAGTCTGCCTACCACTCTCACCCCACCGCTAACCCATTCCCTGAAGGCTACAGGGTCTTCTGACAGAAAGCACTAGGGCACATCAGCGCAAGCTAACTGGCCGAGTGGCAGCGTCAAAAACACAAGGACACACCAGTCAGTGTCCAAGGACGCTGGAGGGATTTGAAAAGGCAAGAACTAGGGATGAGAAATAGAAAGAGTCTGCCGTCGAGTCTTCACAACGTGTGTGTGTGTTTCTGAATGTGTGGCCGCTGTAATCAATGGAGCGTGAGTGCTGTAGTCTTGAAGCCAGAGGAAAGGACCTGATTCAGGCCTCTGGGGAGGCTGCAGGCGCACACACACACACACACACACACACAGACACACCAAGGTACAGTATGTAGGACACGCTGCAGTGCCTTCTGTGTGTGAGCAGACTACGCTCTCCAGCATGCGTCCTTGTTTGTGTGTGATCATGTGTCATTATAAATCCTTTAAAAGTCTCCAGGTGGTTTCTCATCCTCGTCACATTCACTCCGTTGCTGGGAGAAAAAATAGAGTGATGGAAGGAAAAGAAAGAAGTTTGTGCTTGAATGATGGGTAAAAGTACTTAGACGTTGTTGTTGAGTGTGGTGGCTGTGTGTGTGCTCATGTCTCACTTAGTGGAGAAAACGAGCTAAGCTGTTGAGCTCAACACACCGGACATCTCCCTGTCTCTCTGGAAAGCATTAGTGTGTGTGCAAGCTGTCTCATACCAGTGAGATTAAGACTTCCTTTTTACTAAAATCAGTGTTGTCATTATGGAAGAAAAAATAATCCGGGGACAAACAAACTTTTCGCCTGCCATCAGCAGTTGCCAGTGTGTGTGCATCTGTGTGTGCAGCTATAAAGCGCATTCAAGTGTATATGTTGTTCATGCATGTGGCTGTGTGTTTTGCCGGTGTCTGTGCATTCATGTGTGTGTGTGTTTGCGTTGGCTGATAGGGTTAATCTCCCCACTCAAAGTGTAAAACCTCTTTCCTTAGCAAGGCCTCGCATCCCAAGTGCAGATGGCTCCCAGTAAATAGACTCCTCTCTCTCCCTCACACTTCCAGTCTCCCTTCATTTCCTTCGCTCCCCTTTGTTCATGTCAATAACAGTCGACAGGGTGATGTCAGTACGTGCACATGCATGCGTGTGATCGCTTTTAGTGCATGTATATGCACACATGTTGGGTTGAATCTCTGCATGTGTATGCTGTCATGTGTGACATTTCCACTTCCCCCACTGTGTGTGTGTGTGTGTGTGTGTGTGTGTGTGTGTGTGTGTGTGTGTGTGTGTGTGTGTGTGTGTGTGTGTGTGTGTGTGTGTGTGTGTGTGTGTGTGTGTGGTGTGTGTGTGTGTGTGTGTGTGTGTGTGTGTGTGTGTGTGTGTGTGTGTGTGTGTGTGTGTGTGTGTGTGTGTGTGTGTGTGTGTGTGTGTGTGTGACCATAGTTAGGATTGTAATTAGTGATCCTGTGGATGTGTGTGCACATGTGTGTGTGTAAGGGTCTGTGGAGTGTGTGTTGAAAACAAAGCGCTGGCTGATAATGTGTCCATTGTGGCGGGTGCATTAAGGCCCTCTTTGTCTCAGGGCCCACAGGGCTAATGATTCTCTAGCAGCAGGTGAGAGGGAAAAAGCCTCTCTCTTTCGCTCCCTCTCTCCCCCACTTGTCTCTCTCTTTATCTTGCGTCGCCTCTCTCGCTCTTTTCCCTTTTGCTCACTTGTTTTTGTTCTTCAGATTTCCTCTCTTTCGATTATCAGCTTCTCCCTTTCCACCTTTCTCTCCCTCTCTCTCCTGCTGATGCGGCCATTAGGCTGAGCTGCCGCTGCCTTTATTACAGCAAATGGACTTTAAATGAGCTTTATTGTCATGTTGGCCAGCCAACTGAATCCCTCTCTCTCTCTTTCCTCTACCCCCACCCTCCCCCACCCTAAACAGAGGCCCCCAGCATTGAGAGGCTGTTGTCAAAGGACTGGAAGGATAACCTTTTGGCCATGGGCTCAGGGCACATCGGAGAGATTAAAGGTATGGTACCACTGAATATTGACAGAACTAAACTTTAGTGAGCAGAATTGAATTAATCCTTTCAACTTAATAAGATGCACCTCCGATGACCATTGATAATTAATACTAAAAAAACTATTTTGCCGCAAAATCAAAAGGTATTTAGGTTGTTGTTGTCTGAATCAATAGTTACAGTGCAGAACTGCTAGCAGCTAATGCTACTTGACATTTCATAGTGCAAAGTGACCAAAAATGCAAAAAGAAATCATGGCAGCCGAAAAAACCCCACAGATACTGTAACTCGCAACATCATCCTCCCTGTTTACAACGAGCATGATGGGAAACCAGTAACGGAAAACAAGAAAATCAACTTTTTTGGCCCTAAAATTTTTTACTAAATGCAGTTGATCTAACACAAATGAGCAGAGCTGCCCTGAACTGAACCGAGCTGGCCACATTGTCCCGTGTTTGACCGAAATGTCAATGACGTCTCTGCTAATGCATCAGCTCTGCGTTAATCTCGGTGGTAATCACCCATTTTATCCACTCCAACCCTTCTTAACATCCGGGAGCGAGACAGACAGAGAAGGACAGAGGGCAGGAAGTGAAACAAGAAGAGAGCCATGCTGTGAATATGCAGGAGCAAGAGTCAGCCAGAGAGAGAGAGAGAGATGTGAGAGAGGTGGAAAAGTCTGGCTATTATTCCCTGTAACTCCAGGGCAAAGCTGTCGTTCTCCTCCAGTAATTGAGCTTCATTAGGAAGCAAAGCAATATGTAATCAAAGAGCCTCACGGAGCGGCGTGGCCGTAGAGAGGGGGGCTCCATTGATCAAACCCCCTTTTTCGCAGCTCCCCGCCGCGCTGACATTTCTGTGTAGGGGCGTCCCGCTTGGCGCACCACACACCAACAGCTGGGGAGCAATACCGTGTGTGTGTGTGTGTGTGTGTGTGTGTGTGTGTGTGTGTGTGTGTGTGTGTGTGTGTGTGTGTGTGTGTGTGTGTGTGTGTGTGTGTGTGTGTGTGTGTGTGTGTGTGTGTGTGTGTGTGTGTGTGTGTGTGTGTGTGTGTGTGTGTGTGTGTGTGTGTGTGTGTGTGTGTGTGTGTGTGTGTGTGTGTGTGTGTGCAGTGGAAGTGCATGTACAGTTGAGTCTATGTGTGTGTCCTAGACGGTGCTTATATAACGATGTGTGTCTGCGACAGTGAACATGTGCATTGATTAAAGAAGAGAGAGAAATATACAGAAAGTCAAGTGTTCACACACCAGTTTGTACGTGTGTGTGCTCTTATTTGAGAGTGCATCCCTTGGCTTTTTCTCCCCCCATCGAATACCATTGAGGAGTTTTTGTAGGGGAACAAAGTGATTTTAAGCCTCGCCTCCCGCTCCGTCTGCCTTATTGAGAAGCAACATTGGTAAAAGGCCTCATGTGGTTCACATAGCAAACACACACATACTGTATACACACACACAAGTATGGAACTCATAGCACTAGAATACAAACCCTGAGATCTGTGGCATGGGACAGTAGAGAGTGACAGGATGGGATCATTTCTTAAACAAATTGCCCCTTGTGCAAAGTCTCACACTGCACGGCAGTTTTATATACAGCTTGTTTCAGCACTTCATTAAAATGCAATGATGTTACACAGGGGTACATATTTAAACCAGAGACCTACGATTCTTTATTATATGATCCAGCTTAAATATTATCATGTATTTTTGTCTCATGTCAAAGCTGTAGTACGGTAACTGCTAACCATGTAGTAAGTGCTTTAATTAAACCTTAATTGTATGACCTTAATCTTAACCTATTGTGATTATTAACAGTAATTCTGTTATCATGGCCATGTAAATATACTTTACTATTTACTAGATTCTAGACTGCTCTTTCTCTGTCGTCTCTCCTTCTCCGCTCATATTTCCCTCACTCTTTTTCTCCCCTCCACCATCATGCTATGTCTTCTCCATCTCCTCCCCTCCTTACTTCCCTCCCCCCTCAGCCATCTCTTCCCCCGGGGGGAGTTATCAATGCAGCCGGGGTCATTAATTAGCACTGCAAACACAGTGACAAGTATTACATTGTTACAAATTGGTTAATTACGCCAAGCATGAGTGTGTGAGAGAAAAGAGAGGGTTGGTGTGGCCTCCACAGGTTTGTAGGTGAGCCAGGCTGCAGCAGTGTGCCTGAGGAGGAATGTGTGTAAACCGATGGAGGAAACCAGTTATCGATCGGCCTGCCAGCCTCGCAGCAGCTGAGGAAACAAGCGGACGCCAGCTGATTTATGGGGCGACCGCAGAAATGTTAAGTTTCTAAATCTCGTCTCAGTTAGGAAGCGTGTTGTTTTCTTGGATCCTTTTTCTTCTGCAAATACTCTTTGGTTGACTGATGAAAGATCCACAGCTGAGAGGGGGATTGAGAGCAGCTTGTAGGGAAAGAATCAACTGCTTGTCTCCGTTTTTTGTACACACCTATGCAGGCTGCCGCTCACAGGAATGTCCCTCCACCTACACCCTGTTTTGAACAGGAGTACCCACTTTTACTGTGTTTGCATTTGTGCATGTGCCTAGATGTGTGTGAGTGTGTTAAGGGGGGTTAACCCTAATAAGAAACCTCTACAAGAAAGACTCCTTTGATCCGTCGTTTCACCTTTGCCACCCCCCTTGTCCTTTTTTCCTCCCTTTTGCGCCCTTCCTCCCCACTCTTCACCCCCCATTTGAACAGGCTAACGTTTTTAACACAAGGCTCTTTCTTGTCTTGGTCAGCTTTGGCTATACACACACACACACAAAAGCACGCACACACACACATTTCTGGCGTTACAAAGGTGGGTCTGTGAGTTAGGACAGCGGCGTGTTTATTTTTCCAGCGGCCAGTGCTCCCGACAGTTGCCTTTATTGTTCATTGTTGGCGGATGGATGGAGTGCAGGGGGAAGTAAGGGGAGTGAGAGGGAGGTTTGTCGGTGGGCAGTGAAGGCGGGTGGGTGCTGGGGGGTGGCGCGAGGCGGCGGCTACCAACAGGGAGGACAAATGGATGGCTCTCACCTTCCCGAGCGGTCAAAGGGCAGGTCAGCAGCCGGGGCTCCTCGCCTTCTTTCCCTCTATCCTTTCTCCCCCTTTCATCCCCCCCAGTGCTTCTACTTCTTTTCATCCCTGCTTCCTCTCTTTCACCCTCTTTCTCTGCTTCTCTCTTCCTCATCTGGTTTGGCTGGCGCAGGAATGCGGCCCTGTTAAAGGTAGCAGCTGAAGAACAATGGGGCATTGTGCTATTCAACACATGCACGCACACATGCACGAACACACACACACACACACACACAACAAAGGCATGTAGGCAAACATCGGTACATATGACCAGACATGGGCGCACACACTCGTACTGATTGTGCCTCAGTGTGCCTCTTTCTAACTACATCCTGTTGAATGATTTAGGCCTTGTGTGGAAGTGTTTGTGTAATTCTCTCTCTGTGTGTGTGTGTGTGTGTGTGTGTGTGTGTGTGTGTGTGTGTGTGTGTGTGTGTGTGTGTGTGTGTGTGTGTGTGTGTGTGTGTGTGTGTGTGTGTGTGTGTGTGTGTGTGTGTGTGTGTGTGTGTGTGTGTGTGTGTGTGTGTGTGTGTGTGTGTGTGTGTGTGTGTGTGTGTGTGTGTGTGTAATGGAGCTGGTATGTCAGGATCTGAGAGGTCAGAGGTCAGGCCAAGCTAAATGTGAGCAGGAGGTTGGCTGACTGCAGGGTAAACACAGACCAGACACACACACTCTCTTTCTCGCATTTCTTTCCTCTCTTTACATACACATACACATACACACACACACACAAAATACAGCTTGAAAGCTACAGGTCAATCCCCATATTTATCCTTAATTCAACGTCAATCAAATAATTAAGATTATACTTAAACTTTAAGCAAAATGTACACTTTCAAAGCTGGCGGTAGATTTATTTGGTTTGTTGAACATATAAATCTGGCTCAGATTTAGCAATATTTTTACCACCACATTTTGTTTATAAGCGTTTCCTCAGCCAGATGTATTTTCTTTATTCCAATAAGGCAATAAAGGCAGTGATGGATGTGGCTTGAGTAATCACTGCTGGCCTTTGCCCAGGAAAATAAGTCAACATCTGGTTTTACAACTCCTCACACACACGCACTTTGCTAACGGTGCCTTCCGTTGACGTGCCCTCTTCTACCGTCCAAAGCCCCTAACCAGTCATATATTAAATTGGCCAACAAGCCAAGGATAGCTTTACACTGCTCTGTTATTCCCTCCTCCTCCTTTCTCTCCTTCATGCCTCTGACCTCTAACCTCACCCCCACAATCCTTTATGTCCTACGGATAGCCATGAAAATCTCTCAAAGAAGAGGAACACAGCATGACATCATTGCACTTTGCTCCCGTTGCTTAAAACATCTTGTACATCTTTATAGAAGAAGTATAATTACTGACAACCATATATCTGTGATCAGCAATGATCTAAAACACTTTTCTTCAAAGGGCTTATATCTCACCTTCGACCTTTCTCTCTCCCCACCCCTTCTCTCTCACCGTGTAGGTACTGCGGACAGCCTGGCGGAGAAAGAGCGCCAACTCATGGGCATGATTGGCCAGTTGAGCAGCCTGAGGGAGCAGCTCCTGGCGGCCCACGAGGAGCAGAAGAAGCTGGCCACCTCGCAGATGGAGAAGCAGAGGCAGCAGATGGAGCTGGCCAAGCAGCAGCAGGACCAGGTACAGAGCTCGCTGCGTGAGAAGGGCTGGATACTGTACGCCTATGCTGCCAAATAAAACCCTTACTAGTTAAGATAATTTAAAAAAAACTAAAATGACTTATCTTCTACCCCACATAATTACACAAAAAGTCAGTAAACAGTCAACAAAAGCACAGGATTGGCTGCTGATTCGGACAAGTTTTACACACACACACGCACCATTATGTGCGGATACACTTATATTTATCACAAATGGTCATCAACAATCCTCGGACAGATCTTACGGTAGGCTGAAAGGTGTGGTGGAAAAGCAGCAAATCGCACAGGACTTTTCTTCCTCTATACTCACACACACACACACATATTATACTGTATAGTGTTCGAGCAGCCAGAGACATGCGCCTTTGGCAGCTTGAACACAGGGACATTGCACAGGAATAAGCTGAGGCTACGTAGCGTTGGAGCGGATGCAGTGCAGACACACACTTACACACACACTCCAAGCTCCCAGGCAAGAGTCTGCCAGGTATTTGCATAGAGAAGGGTTTCCCTCTTTGTTGTGCTGCATGGCTTCTGGAAAGCTCGAGTTTACAAAGAGAATATGCACATAGACACAGAAACACAGCTGTAAGGACAAATCACCTGTGACAAACACACAGTGCCCTTGGCTAACTTCCCTACAAGTGTGTAACGGTTCTAGCTGGACATGAAGGTTCTGTATGTGGATACTGTATTCCTGCCATTCCATTCCCCTCTACAAGCCACTGGAGAGTTACAGTGCAAAATATATATTTATTTTATTCCAGTAACTGAAATGTCATCACAAGCAACGGAAATAAATGTGTAAAAGTAAGAAGATTACTCCAAATTAATCAGAATATAAAAAATGGACATCAGCAATGCCCATGTCAGTGAGTGTGTCGGTGTGGCAGTGTTGTCCACTTGGCTGTGAGCTCGACACGAGAGGAGCTCTTTAATATTTCATGCCAGGGCATCGACCCTCTGTCGTGCCTCAGAGACCTGCAGATGTGTCGCATCTCCCAGAGGCCCCGCACACACACTCACAACACATGCACACACTCCCACACTAACACACTGCATATACATTCAAATAATCTGTTGTGTTCTCCCTCCTCAGATTGCCCGGCAACAGCAGCAGCTTCTGCAGCAGCAACAACACAAATCAACCTTCCTGGCAGCAACAAATCCAGGTGAGGCCTGGTTTCTGTGTGTATGTGTATGTGTGTGTCCAATCCATGTGTGTAGTCAGGTGAATGTATTTTTTCAAGTGTTTGTGTGGATGTGCCCACAAAGGCAACTCTGTGATTGTGATTGTTGCAGATTATTTGCTCAGCCATCAGCATTTGGGGCCTGAATCAGTGTTGACTGATACTAGCCCCTCCTACACACACACACACACACACACACACACACACACACACACACACACACACCACACACACACACACACACACACACACAACCACACAACCACACACACACACACACAACCACCCCACACACCACACACAACACCCAACACACACAACACACACACACACACCACACACACACACACACACACACACACACACACACACACACAACACACACACACACACACCACACACACACACACACACACACACCACACACACATCACACACACACACACCACACACACCACACACACCACACACACACAGTGCAATCACTTGAAGTGGTCAGTCTGCTTGGAAAATCAGAACTCGAACAGTATGTTCGTTTTAAGTCTTTATTATATAGTGGCATAAGTTTTGGCAAGTTTACATTTCTTTGATGTATGTTGTATAAATCCAGAGAAGTCACTCAAAACAGAAGTGAATTATTTCTATTGTTTTGCTAAATTGCAAATACAATTTTAGAATGATAACACAATGTAATCCCGAGTAAAAGTATTGATTTTGGCCATTAGGAAGTTGACTCACATATCTTTGGCTACCTGTCCTCATCCTACCTTTGCCATTCATAAATCAGTTTGTTTTTTTATCTTCCAGTGAAAGGAAGCATTATGCTCTCTTTACTTTTTATCAATCACCTGACATCCACAGGAGGAATTCCTTTCACCAGGAAATATAAGGAAATGATGATAACCTTGAATAGCAAAAATACATCTGAAGAGTTAATTATCTTAAACGTCCATTTGAATGTGAGTCTGTGTCTTAGGCTTCAGAGAAAAAAGGGTGGGTATATAAGTAACACTAAAAAATGGAGGTATTGTCCTTTTGGCTGCTACACTGGAGCCTCTATGTTGGTCCAGGTGGCTTGGAACGAATAGCCCAGGCCTTTGTAAAAGCAGATGACACTGAATTTTGAGCTGAGAAAGCCAGGCTTTGTATCATAAAGAGACACCCTGTCCAAGAGGGAACACACACATACACACACACACTCCCTTTCCCCTAAGAGTTTACCAGTACACAGTTTGTAAGATAAGAGACCTTGTGATAGCATGCATGTGGGACGTGTGTCTATGTGTCCACGATTGTGTGTAAAGCAGCTGTGTTTATTTGCTTTGTGCGAGTCAAACTATGAATTGTTCGCGTTTTGTGTCTTTGACAAAAAAAAAAATTCTTTCTTAGGTTTCCTCTGTGCATTCTCAAGCGTCCATTTCTTCATCTGTGCGTACGTGTGCGTGTATGTTCGCCGCAGCTGTGTGTGTTAAGCCATAAACACGTCCGCTCATGATTCACTCCCTCGCGACCCCGCCGAGACAAAGCTCTCTTTTCCCATGACTTTGCAACCTTTTCCCAAACAAGCGTCTCTCCATTGAGCGGGCCCAACAATAGTTTCTCACAAGCAGGGGCAGCTGTAGGCAGCCTCGTTAAGAGCGGGACACAATCAACAGGGGCTCATCACAGGAGCGCACAAACACACACACATCCACGTATATCACACTCATCAAAGTGCGCACAAACAAACATACAACAAAATATATACGCCTCCTCTCGCCCGCAATATCGCAAGCAGTCTCGGAGAGCGCTTCACACTCGCCTGATGATCAAACACACACTCATCATCAAAGACTTGGTCGAGAAATACACTGCTTAATCATTCATGAAGAGATTGTCCGCACAATCCCACAATACAATGGCCTGCCAGAGAAAGGGCACCAGGTTCAGAGTGTTGGGGTTTGTGTGTCTGTGTGTGTTTTTTCTGTCTGTATGATAAGCCCCTTGTGATTGCATTTCCCCCTAACGAGGCTGAGTTCAGCTGTCCCTTCGTGTGTGTGTGTGTGTGTGTGTGTGTGTGTGTGTGTGTGTGTGTGTGTGTGTGTGTGTGTGTGTGTGTGTGTGTGTGTGTGTGTGTGTGTGTGTGTGTGTGTGTGTGTGTGTGTGTGTGTGTGTGTGTGTGTGTGTCTGCGTCCTTGGCTTTGTTAGGCCCAAACCCCCAAAGGCCTGTGAAGAATGCTTTCAACCGTCCACTTGGAAGAGGTGATGAAATGAAACGAATAATCAAGCTCATGAAAAAGAAAGGAGTGACACACATCCCCCATGAAAGGAGGACAAATTATTTATTGTCCTCGTGTCCGGTTTCCTATTTTTCTCACCCTGAAACCCAAATCAAGCCAGCGATATGCATGTGAGGGTCCGCTATTTAGGCCAACGGCACTCTCTGAATGTGGTGCGGGGCTGACAAACAAGCCGGTTTATTTACAGAGGCGGGCATCACAGAAACATAAGCTAATGACAAACAGGACACACATGCACACACCATTCATTAGTGTCCAGGAGTCAGTGATTGGCTACTTTATTGCTCTGACTAATTAAATGTGCCTGGATTTATTCATACATTAGACTCAATTATTATGCTTTATTTTGTCCCATCCTCTACCGATACACACACACACATTCAAAGTTTACTTTTAGGGGAATATCCCATTCTAGATCCTGATCCTGATTTGCTCTTGAGGACAAGTCCTGAATAAACCTTTACCTCTATCCTTACCCCACCTCTAATTCTAACCCTTAATCCACATCACCCCTACAATTTTGTGCTCAATCTGAGGGTACAACACAACTTGTTCTCTAAAGAATTACAGAACAAGAACATGTGAGCGCATAAAGACACACAGACACACTACAACACATTACACACACACTTCTACCCCCTGCTAGGGGCCTTCTTGTTAAGCTCAAAGGGGTGAGCACATTTCCTCGAACTTCGCTTTACTTTGCCCCTCGTCTCCTCTCATTCTAATTAAACAACTTGTCTCCGAGGCTCCCTCCGGTGTTGCTGGGGACGACAGTTGCCGCTGTGCAGGGAAGCGCAACGGGGATGAAAGGAGCTCACCTGCCGAGCGGCTCAGGGCTTACCTTGAGAACACGCACACATTTTTTATAGAACAGAGGCAGCGCTCGCACCCACAGTGTATATTGAAACAGAGGGATGAGGGGACACGAGTGTGTTCTGCCTAATGAATCAAAAACCACTAAACCAAGTCACACACACACACACTCACACAGTCTTTCATTTCATCAAGTGCCACAGTGCCTATATGTGGAGGACAGCAAAGCAGAGGAAAAAAAAGAAAAAGTGAGAAAGAAAATGTGTAAAGCCACCTGATGCTTTGACTAGTTTAAGAGAGGCCAGACGCGCCAGAGACAGCGGCTAACAAGCTCTCTATTAGGGCTAACCCACATTGGTAACTCAATCACACACACAGACATATACACACACACACACACACAGACAGACACACACACAAACACACCCTCCAAGTGTTATAGCTGATGCAGTCACAAGCCTCTGTCCGTGTTCAATACGTTTCAATCTGTGGGAGAAAGCAAAAACCCTAAAAAGCTTTTCATTCAATTCCACACACAAACAGTAAACCACATACTGTGCATGCACGCGCACACACACACACCTCCGTACACTGTACATAGGAGCGGCTAACCCAATTGCCTGTGTAATTGTTTAATCACTCCCATTACACCGCAACCAGTGTAATTTGTGTTTTCCTTATGCACTTTATGTGTCGATGTGAACGCACGTTCACTCAAACTGGACCGCAACCAAGCGCCATTTCCACAGAGACTCTCACTTGCCTTCTCCCTAATGTACTCACACACAGACATACCTCTGTGTGTGTGTGTGTGTGTGTGTGTGTGTGTGTGTGTGTGTGTGTGTGTGTGTGTGTGTGTGTGTGTGTGTGTGTGTGTGTGTGTGTGTGTGTGTGTGTGTGTGTGTGTGTGTGTGTGTGTGTGTGTGTGTGTGTGTGTGTGTGTGTGTGTGTGTGTGTGTGTGTGTGTGTACATTCACAGCCGGCTGGCCTCTAATAGCCCCTGTCCATAGACAGTTAATGGACTAATATGAAAGGCCAGCTATCTCTCTCTGTCTCTTTCCCTCTCTCCGTCTCTCCAAATTAATTATTGGTTCAGTCGCTCGCACGTCCCTTCTTTAGCAATAGGTCATCCAGGTCTTGCATTAATTGCTGGAGCATATGGTCGGCAACAGATTTTAGCTGTGGGACTCGCACTTTAGCGGGGGCTATTCTTTTCGCGCGCTCAGATGCGAGCCATATTGTGCGGCGCTGGCAGCTATTGTTCGGCGCATTAACTTCATAGAGCTAATTACTCCCCAATAATAACTTTACCTTGGAGTTTTTAGCGCGCCTCGTGCCAACCAACCTGTTTCGCACCCCATATGTTAATTAGCGGCCACATCTTCATTATGCCGCAGCGGCGCTTTAAGTTCAAGCTGTGCCGCCTGGCGCGTGGTGAACGCAGCCTCGACTCGCTGCCAATTATCCAACATTTGCTCCCCTCTCCGTCTCTCCTTCCCTCGCTCTTTCTCCCTCTCCTGTTCATTCTGCTGTTTATTTCTTGAGAAGTTCTCGCCAGGGTGAATTGTCGACTTCTCTTTTTCTTTTTGGCCTTTTTGCCCCTGTGAAAAGTTCTCTGGAAATAAAGTTTCACACGTCTCCTTTATATCTATTTTTTCCATTCCCGAGTTGTTTTCTTTGTTTTCCATTCAGTTATCCCTGATTAGAGGATTCTTTTTCAGATGAGTTCCAGTTTTGTTTGTTTCAGGTTTCTTTTAGCGAATCCCCTTATCCTCGGCGTCTGCAGCCTACAGTAGCAGCAGTGTGATGTCTTCTCTGTGTGTTGTAGGTTTTCATGTTCACTTTGGGCCTGATGTGAAAGAGAAGCTGAGGAGTGCGTTATTCCCCAAAGCGCCTGCTGTTTCAGATGTGCCTTTTCCTTTATGTGGGATCTGGAGATTGTCTGATAGATCTGGCCTCGCTCTCACTTTCCCTATCTCTGTTTCTCTCACAGGCTTTTCTATCCTTCTGTCAATGCACCGCTTTGTCTCTGATTCTTATTCTCTGATTTGGGAAAGCGCCCTCCCTCTCTCTTCTACTAGTCCCACTTTCAAAGTTTACACTATGATCACGAGGCTAACACACAGAACTCGTAATCCACTTTAACGTATTGCATTATTGTGTATCCAATATTAGTTGATTACATTTTGCAGATGTATAGGAATGTAAATGTGAAGGAATGCACAGAGGGACGCTCCGATATATAATATGATCAGCTAGTGGACAACCCCCCTCACCCAAACACACACGCACACACATTTCAGACAGCCTTTGTAGAGTGCCTTGTTTCTCACTGTTACGCTCAACTTGCTCTGACCCATGTTTACTGCCTCATATGTGTGGAGGTCAGTGTGTGTGTGTGTGTGTGTGTGCCAGTGACCATGGTAGGCTCGTGGTGCTGCTCATCAGCTCAACAGCTGTTACACACATATCCAACTCAACTATTATAACAGCGCCATATGGGAGGAAATGATCCTCCATAAACCATTCTCTGTCTTTTTCTCTGTGTATTTCAGTGTTTTTTTCTTTCTCCTTCGTGTCTTTCTCTTGTCTCTTTTCTGCTGCTTGATCTTCTTATCCCATTGTGGAGACGCACATATATTGTGCAACAGTTCTGTAGGCTGATTCATATCTTCCTATTGTGCGCAGCCTTTTTTTTGAAGAGATATAAAAAGAGGCAGATATAGAGAGGAGAAGCCATCTGCGCGCAGTATATGTGCCAGTGTGTGTCTATGTACAGTATGTATGAATTACAGCTGCCAGACTTATCCTCTTCTCTCCTCCTTTCCTCCCAAGTCATCTCCGCTTTGCTCACTTATCTTTCCTCTCATCTATTCTTCTCCTCTTATCACCTCTTCTCTCTTATCTTTTATTTCCACTCGTCTCCTCTCAGCTCCTTTCCTCTCCTTTTTTATCTTCTCCTCCTTTCCTCTTATGTCCTTTCTTCTTATTTCCACTCCTGTCTTCTCCTTTCCTTTCCTCTTATCTCCTTTTTTCTCCTCTCCTTTCCTTTCCTCCCCTTTCTCCTCTCCTCTCTTTTCCTCCTCCCTACGGTACATTACAGTATTGCTAGCCAGCTCCACTCCAGCATATGTCCAATTAGGCCTGAAAGGCAAAGCGGAACTGTTCTGTCTGTGATTTGTCCCGGCGGGGGTCCTGTCCGAGCGTCGCGCTGGAACGCCTCTCCCTTCTGATCGCGCGGCACGGCGGTTTATGGTTAACCAAAATGGTGGAGTAATTATTGTTTTTGGTGTAAGGGGGGAAACAGGAGCCGCTTGAAGAGAGCTGTATTCCCCTGCGCTGTGATAGTTTGATTACAGTGCTGCTGGCTGCCGCATGCCGACACACAGGAGGAGGGGCAGAGGAGACCCCTCACACAGAAACACACACATAGGTATTTACAGTACACAGGCATGCATACGCCCAGGGAAACTTGAGTATACACACACGGGGAAGCTAGGAGCGCTGTTAACACTGAGACAGCCGCTCTCTATTTACCTGTCTCAAGCACTTCAAGTGTCCATATCACAGAGATATTACCTGATTTCACCGTGGAAACCACCACATCCTTATGATTGTGCAGCCATTTCCTTCACTCCAGATCAATTTTCTCACATCCAACTGCTTTTACCTGCCCATTATCCTATTCAGCCACTCTGCCCTCCAGGGAAAATAAGAGAGGCAGGGAGAGCAGGAGAGAGGCGATGAGTTGTAAAGAGGGAACAAAGTGCTATGCAGGAATACAGGTCAAAGGCCTGAAGACCCCATCAGAGATTTGATCTAAAGGGGCACCCAACCAATTGTGTTACAAGCAGTTTACACGTCCTATGGAGTATTAGCTGGCGTTTGAAAACAATTGGATAAAGTATTCTGGAGGAGCCTTCTCTGGTATATAATCAATAGAGAACAAATGCACTAAGGACGATGACAACGTATATTTCAAAGAGTTTTACTTGTGTTTCAGGACATACGAAACACACAAGCCACCTTTGAACTGATAAGCCTTTTGTCTAAAGTAAGTTTGCAATACACCTGTACACCTGCATTTTTATTTTTATTTGCTCATATGATCTCAAATGGAGGGAAAAAACTGTTTGCCTGGGGTGTTAAATAAATAATATAAGTATAGATAAAAAGAGTGTTGTGAGTGTTTATTTCAGTAGAGTGTAGGCGTAGCATTGTTGTATTGCTGCCATGCCCAAAGACTCAAAAGCAGACTAGTAGCCAATGAAAACCCCACATTGTATGTTTCAACTACGTTAATAAAAAATAACATAACTGAGATAGTATACCTATAGCATTAACAGTTATTGGAGCACTGTTGAGTATTGGAATAGGAAGCACAATAACTGCTTATACTGACTTTTAGGAGAATGTGCACACAATTTGGCTTGAGCTCCTTGTTCTCTCTACATCATTCCAGCATTACACCTCAGCCTTACAGCTCGATAAGATTCCTTATTTTCCTCCTCGTCTCACCTTATTCCTCTCCTTCTCTCCTCCCCACTTCCTCTCCTCATCTTCTCCCATCTCTCCTCTCAAACTGTCAGTCAGTCCATCACACGCAAGTCTTTGTGCGTTGTTTTTGGCAGAACGCTGTTTAGTGCAACCATCTGTCTCCTACTTCTCTCTCTTTCTGTCTCTCCTTCTCTCCCTCTCCTGTCGTCCCTGCCAAAGCCACCCATCGGAGGAGCTTTTTTCTGCGTCTCCTTTTAAAATCCTGGAAACCTTGTGAAGTCGTATGGCTCTCTGCCGACGGCCGCGCAGAGAGGGTTGTGTGTTACTGTGTGTTTGGGTAGTTGAGGGGGTTGATGTGGGGAGAAGGGAGAGAACATCATCTTCCAAATGAAAAGGGAAAGGCCAGCTGTTGTGCGAGTTTAGTGAACTGTTCCCATAACTTGCTTTCTGTCTTTGAATCTAGAAGATAGAGTGCTTAGGACTGTGTGTGTGTGTGTGTGTGTGTATGAGGGGGTGGGTTCATTAGTGTCTTTTCAGACTGATTTCATATGTGTGTTCCATATGTATGTCATTAATTTATGTATATGAGCCTGAATGCATATGATTGTGTGAAATGATTATGATGTAATGTAGATTTAACTGTCTCCACTATGGCAAAGACGTCTGTTCTGGGGTCAGTTACACACATAAATGCACATTCAATGCATGTAAATGTAATTACACTTAAAGAGATGCCAAAGGTGCTGATGTTTATTTCCTCTTTTCTCCCCACTTCCTCCTCTCCCCACCCCCCTCTCCTCCCCCTCCTCCATCAGCAGGTCCAGGGCCAGCTCCCCCCGCTGATGATTCCCGTCTTCCCCCCGGACCAGAGGACCCTGGCGGCGGCGGCGGCCCAGCAGGGCTTCCTGATGCCCCCTGGCTTCAACTACAAGCCTGGCTGCAGTGAGTAGCTTCCTCACGTACCGGCATGAATAGGTGTAAAAGTACTTTTTTTATGTGTGATGTTTCAAATGTTTTTCACCAAAGCAAGGTAGAGTCTGACCGTTTTCCCACACAAGGAGTGGGACTGTTTCCCAAAAGACGAGCTCGCCCCTACAACAACATCTCTCCCTCTTAATAGAAAAACCAGTCCAAATACACCCTTCCTGTTTACACTCTCAATTTCTCCCTCCCTCTCTCGCTCAGTCCTCTTGGCTCCATCCTTTTGTCTTGTCTATTTTTTGACGAATAAAAGCAACAAAATGCAGGCGTCCTGCAGGACATGTTTTTTTTTTTATTATTTGGCCATCACGCTCCGGCTGTGTGGCAATGTGTTGTTTACCATGATAGAGAGAGAGAGGCAGAGACAGAGAGGTGGGAGCTTGCCAGGGGATGCTGGGAATAAATGCACGGTGGGGGGTTAGCAGAGGGGGGGGGGGGGGGGGGGGGGTGGTGGTAAATGTGACCTGCCCCAGGTTCTCCTCACATTAACACGGGAAGCAGCCAGAACATGTTTCCAACACAGCCCACACACACTAACACACAAACGTACCGGCAGCCAGAGAAAGCTTTGTGATATCGCAACACAAAAAAAAAAGACTTCCACACTGATCTGAGAGCGTGCACATGAGCGCGTGCACGCTCAGTCCCCCCCCCCACCCCCACCCCCTTAGAGTTTCACAGCTTCCCAAACAAGTCCACTCCATTTTAATTAGTGCCATCTTCACCCACGCCCACTGCCCACGTAAATACCCTATCAAGTGGTGGGCTTGTCTTTTCACTGCCTCCGCCAACTCCAACCGGACTGGCACTCGGCGCCAGGCTGAGCCGCCCCTGAGAAAACTCTCTGGCAACTTTCAAACTTGTTGTGAGTTGCTGTAGTTTGGTGCTGCCACTCTAAATAGGACATGTGTAGCATTGTGATCTGACATATTCTCGCAGCTCCTCATAGCTTTGAAGATAGGAATAGATTTTATCCACACGTTATGGATTTCTTGGCACTCTCATAAACCCTTGTTGAACAGTGGCACAATTTATCTACCGTCCAAGCTGTTGATATCAAAGATAAAGATAACTTTTTAACCTTTGCGTGGACTTATAATTTAGTTTAAATATAAAAAAGTACATTTGTTCTAAACAACACTGCATTATCAGGTATGACATTTTCATAATTTTCTTAAAAATATCATTTGGAGCTGGTTATAGTTGCTTAATTACGATTTAAAAACAAACAGAAAATGTAACCCCCCCACCATGAATTGTTGAAGAAAAGCTTTTAACAATGTAGGACATTTAAAATTGTGCACAAATTGACACCACAGGAATATTGATGCCTTAATCTACCTCCCTCCTTCGCATGTTTCTCAGTGAGAAATGTCATCTTTGTCCGCCGAGGTCACTGTCCCCGAGCCAAGAGCAACATGTTTGCTTTCCTCCGTCCGTCTCCCTTTTGTTACAGCGACCCCCAGGAGGAGCATAAATATCCACCCAGCTCATGTTTGTCTAGGGAGCGAGGAGAAAGGACCCATCTCCTAGAATACACAGTCCTGAAATAATTATTTAATCCCTCCTGCCCTCCTCCCCGCTGGAGAAAAGAATGTCTCAGCTTTGCTTTCCTATTTTTTTTTTTTTAAAGAACCGAGTTATATGGGAAAATATGTCCGGAAAGACATTCTTGGCCTATCTCAAGCGCGCACACACACACACACACACGCACGCACACACACACACACACACACACACACACACACACGCACACACACACACATACATACATTTACGCAGGCACACACATGCACAAAAGAAGGCCCCAAGAAGCTGACCGCTGAAGGTTGAGGTCAGAGATGCAAGGTCAAACCATGAGCAAGTTTTCCTCCGTGAAGAATAGAGCGTCCTTGATGTAACACTAGCATACAGTCTGACCTCAGGTCACTGTGATTGGTCAAAATGTGAACCAGAGCAGTCAACAGGCAGGTTTTATTCAATGTGACGATTATTAGGTGCAGTATTCCTCATCTCCTCTCCCCTCCCTCACCCCCCATCACCTCCGCCCCTCATCCCTGACCTTTTCTCTCCCTCTCGGAGTAATTACAGCGCGGCCTATCTGCACCTGGTCACTAATAAACCGCTCTCGTCCTCTTCTCTGTCTCCTTCTCCCTGCACTTCTGTCATCTCCTCCGCCCTGTTCGTCCATCCATCTCTTGATTTATTCTTCCTGACAGTGGGGGGGAGAAAGGTGGAGAGTAACTTGTGAAGAAAGAAAGATGACAACAAGAAGGACACAAGGAGGGAGAAAGGGGGAGCCGGGCTGAAAGCAGCCCCGACAAAGCAGGAGAACAGACAGTTGAGAGGAGAGAAAAAAGGGGAGAGAAGAGAGCGGCAATCGGCAGTGGCGGCTCTTAATTACGGCGCTGGGGCCAGCTTTATCAGAAGCCCCTCACCTCGCTGCTCTTTGTCAGGGGGTATTAAGGAGGAGGACACACAATCAGGCTTTTCATTAAGGCCCTACCGGCAGCACACACAAAGGACGGCTTTAACAGCTGCACTAAGGGACTCAGGTGGTGGTGGGGGTGAGGCGAGGGGAAGGAGAGGGACAAAGGTGGGAGGAGAAAAACAAGAGGATGAGGGTAAAGAGAGGGGGGATGCAGAGACAGGAGGAAGAGGGTAAGTGGAGAAAGGGTGACAAGATGTAGAAAAGAGGGAGAAAGGATGAAAGTCTGATAGAGGCATGGAGAAGGCCTGGTGTGTCAAAATAAACAAAAACTGACATAAAAATGTGATCTTCTCTGATTTCCTTCAGGTGACCCCTACCCTCTCCAGCTCATCCCCACAACCATGGCTGCTGCTGCTGCTGCTGCTGCCGCCACACCAGGCCTGGGACCCCTACAACTCCAGGTAAGACTGCAGGATACACACATGACATCATGTCCATGACAACAACAATCAAAACTCTGGGAATGTCACACAAATATTCAATTTTCCTTTTCACTTGGGTGGTCCCATAAAGAATAAATCCCCTGACAGTGTTGGGGGTGCAAAGCTGTCACTGTCAGCCAAAGTGTGGACAGTGAAGTCATCTTAGAAAAACATGATCTCAATGATCAGAGCTCAAAAATCTCACAGAACTGACAAGTGTTAGCGTAGCCCTCGGCTCTGTCCGGCAGTATTCAGACTGACTGTCAGAGCTAATGTGTGGGTGAAGCTGAAGAGATCTCTTTCAGCAGCACAGAGGCATCTTTGTGTGTGAAGTTATCATCATGATCCAAATGATGGTCACATTTTGTTTCTCAAGCACCTGGACGTTAGGCTTTAAATACCGCTCAGCTTTCAATTTACGATGTTGGATAACTTTTCTCCACTCTCATATGTGCAGCTCTGCCTCTTATCTCATAATCATGTCTCATCCGCTTAATAAGCAAGAGAGCAGAAAGAGATGACAAAGAGAGACAAAGCCTAAGAGGGGTAAAAAACAGTCAACATCTGTTATGGTGTTTTTAAGGAGGGTGAGCCTGACTTTGGTCCTCTTCCTGTCTGCACATTTAGGATAAGCGGCCTATTGCTCGTTAATCCCGACCCCACGATCACTGCTCGTACACTCACTCTCTCTCCCTCTGACACACACATACGCGACCAGACCTCACACACTTCCACTCATATCCACGTGGGCTTTGGGGCCCCACTCTCCCGGGGGTTAAGAGCCTGCGCGGGCGTCCCCCCGTGTGCCTGTCAGAAACACATTAACCTCCGGTGTGGGGCTCGGCCCCTGAACAGGCTGCACTTGGCCCTCATGTCTACTTGACATGCATTATCATAAAATATGACATCTGAGCGAAGCAGCTGCCTTCACACACATTTCTGTTGTACATCTTTTTCACTTACTGTACATACACAAGGGGAATGAGGGGTGAAATATGGGTTAAAGGTGAGGCAGAGTGTGTGTAATACATTTGCACCTGTCAGCCAAACGTGCTGCCCCATATGCTAGACACTGCAGGGAGAAAAGAATAAGTGTGTAATTCTATCATGGAGAACGGACCCCGCTGTCGTCACTGATTTCATTATAACCCGTGTGTTTGAGCACATTTCTGTGTTTAGCCCGAGAATAATGTCCTCTGTGCCGTTATCACTGCTTCAATCTAGCTGTCCATATGTTCCACTGTGTTCAGAAACACTCAATCTCCAGTTGAACGGCTTTGTCCACCTTGCAATTGGATTTTGTTTTTCACCTACAGGGAGGGGTGAGAGGACACAAGTGCAAAAAAACATCTCACTAGCAGATTTCTTTCTTACAATCCTCTCAGACACACACAGTCACACCCACACACACACACACACACACACACACAGTGGCACATTGAGATTAAGGCCTGTCAGAAAGAAACAGATTTGCCCAGGCTAACACAAGTACAGATGTCTCAATGTGGATGGATTTCCTTTGGGATCGTCCTTGCGCCCTCATTTGATGAGGTGTTTCTGCCGCCGAGACAAGACATGACAGTTAGTTTGGGCCTCAGGTCGCCACGGCAACACAGCGGTTTGGCAGGGAGGACACAAATGAACCCACTTAACCGAGACAAACACACACACACACAAATAGAGATTGAAAATAAAAGATTTTCAGATAGAGAAGACAATGAAAATCCCAGCTGCATTCAGGAGCACATGGAAACATACCGACAGATACGTTAGTTCAACTTCAACTGAACACATACACACATAGTCAGTGTATACAGTTATTAATTGAACACACCCAATGCTGGCCAACATTTCTCATAGGTGCTATGTCATGATTTTCCTACATTTCTGCATTAAAATGTTGACTTTTTAACAAATACACCAAAAATAGCTTGAATTCAAAATACACACTTTTTGAAAAGGTGTTATAAATCTAAGATGAGTAATTTTTTTAGTCCACAAAAATAATAATGTAATCCTTAAATGAGGTACAAATATGTATTTATTGGAGTTTTAGTGATAAGCATCTCACATCTTAGAGTGGATGTCTCATCTCAAGCAATGAAAGGAAATAATTAATCCGACCAAGGTCATGACCTTTGGTGCCTCAGCACTTTCAAAAGGCTTTTATAGACTCACTTGGGAGAGTGCTACAATGGGGCTAATGATGTTAACTACAACAAACACCATATTTGTAGTTTAAAGTTAAGATATTTCTAAACAGAACATGGTGAACGTGAACATTGTCGAGATCTAAAATACTGATGTGGATAAAGTTAGAACATTTCAATTATAAGCTGATAAAACAGCTGTATGTTAAAAACACAAGCACAGTCACACATGTACATGTTTAAACTATAAAAGGTTTTTGATATAATGCCAAACAATCTTTCAGAATCCACTTCTCATAACAGCACAGATTTGACTTAAGTGCAGTTCTTAGAAACATGTATTAATCTCTCAATGATGTAAAGCTCTTTACATGTGTAAAATATCTTTCATAGAAATCAACAGAGTAGCTCTTACAGTCAATGGGAGCTTAACACAGAATCCTTTACAGACGCTTTTCAAGGCTTTCGAGTGTACAAGGTTGGCATTTAGCGTCTTAATCTGGGGGATGAGTGTGACATTGTGCATTAGAGCATGTTAATCTGGCTCCCTGTTGACCCTTGATATCATTGATATCATCCACAAATGGACTAGGAAGGACAGACAGAATAAAAAGAAAATGCACTCATCCGGGCAAGAGAGGGAGAGATTGGCGATAAAGGTGAAAAGGTACCAGAGAGGTATTTAGAAGGATGATCAGCTAAAAGGATACACACAGAGAAATGGTGGGGAAAGAGGTAAGTGGAAGAGAAAAAGTGTGGATGTACGTGAGAGATTAAATGTGTGCATTTGTGTGTGTGGCGTGGCATAAAGAGGGTCAATGGCACGGGTCAGGCATCATATGGAGAGGCAGATGTTGGAACATATTGTCCTGGATTACCACACTGTACACCGGAGAGATGGGCGGGCGAACAACGGACAGGCGGTTAGAGGGGAGGGAGGGAGGGAGGGAGGGGGATGAGGAAAAAACAGACAGGGACAGATGACAGAAGGTAAATGAGAAATCAATCGAGCAACTCGTTTCCCCACAAACCCTTATCTCAGGAGAGAAACAGTGCAGGGAAGCGTTTTCTCAGATGAGAGCATTGCTCCACCGTTGGTATCTTCTTATTGGCCTTAAGGCTGCTTGGAGTTGTAAGGAAAAGCCATTTTGTGATAACAGCGTGGGATCAATGTAAATCAATAGGCAGCAGAGATAGGCCACTATAGCTGGGCAAACTGCCTTACCACTTCCAAACACATGATGAGTAAAGCACATGTGGATGTATAAACTCTCTAATCAATTATTGGTGTGTTTTAATTACTTAAACATATTCCTCTCAACATTGTGATGAGAAAACCAAACGTTCAGGATGCAGTTTTGAAGTAATTGAAATATAAAAGTGAAAACTAACTTTCTTTGATTCTGTTTTAAAGTTATGTTCAACCGTCTAAAGCTAGCACAAAGAAAAATAACCTAAACACTTCAAATGTTTGTTGTTAAAGGAAAAGAACATGTCCTTGAGGCTCTGCCATAAAGGTATAAGGAAAGCACCTGTAATGGTGTTATAAACACTTTTCCACTGTATTCAGCTCGCTCTGTGGGTTCTTTTGACTTCATTTGTTGCTTAGTTCAATCACAAATCGTTACTCAGTTACTTTCAAAGGAGGCAGAATCAAAGGAGAAAATGCGAAGACAGGGTTTGTGTCCAATGTCTCTGACTCACTCTTTTTACACGTACTGATAAAAACAGACAGGAAGTCAGACAGACAGACAAGAATCCATTGAGATCCATACAATAGTCCTCGGTGTCCATGTAAACAATAGAGCTCTGAAGCGCCGCTAACTCTCACAACAAAGACCGGGCGGGCTGGTAATCTGACTAAAGCTGCAGATTATTGACCAAGACTCACTCACACACACACCCACACACACACACACACAAACATGATCCCCCCTACTAAGATGACGAGAGACACAGTACAATCTCACTAATACCAAACAATCCTCCCCATTCTCGGAAAAACACTCAGTAACATATTACCTTTTTACTGTTTGTCAACGGGCTTCATTTATTCGCATTCACACACACAGAAACGCACACACACACAGAAATGGTGGGTTTCTGATCAGTAGACATACACACAAACACAAGCAGGTCTTAAAAAACACACACACACACACACAGCTCAGCAGTATGCCTTGCCAGTGAGTGACATTTCAAATTCCTTAGTCCCATCCTTCATCTACGATTGCATTCCCCCACCCCTCGCTCATTGTGTTGCTTTGTGTGAGTGTGTGTGTGTGTGTGTGTTAGTATGTGTGTGTGTGTTCGCTCCTCCGGTCACCCCAAGGGGCTTTGCGCTGTCACTTCCTGTTTGTTGACATGCATGTCGTTGTGGCGACGCTCTGGGCGCGCTCTACAGTGCCCTCTGTGTGTGTGTGCAAGCATGTGTGTGTAAGAATGTGTGTTTGTGTGTGTGTGTCATTGCTCGCCGGCCCATTGAGCGGGCTTTGAGTGACGGGAGCTGGCCTTGTAATGGAACTCAATTCACTCGGCAAATAAAGAGGCCTTTGAACCACTGGTCCGAATATGGCAGGACACACACACTCGCTCAGACACACACACCAACACACACACCCACTGCCTGTGGTCCCCTTGCTAGGGGGTTTGGCTGGTAGGGAAGGGCGGGTGAGGGGTGTTCATGCTCGGCTGCCCCCCGCCCCCCCCCCCTCTCTCTTCCAGGAGCCACAGTGCGGCTAATTGAAGAGAAATGAGCGAGCAGAGGCTGATCTGATCTCAGTCCCCGCACTGCATTCACGTAACTCGCCAGAGCATGACCGACCGCCCGCTGATTTCCACAGCAGCAGCACCCTGTCTACTGTATGTACCTCAATTATTACCGTCCCCCTCGGTGTCCATGACATCAGCTGAGCAGAGACCACTGTCTGATATTTAGCAGAGAGGAAACATCAACTCCTGATTTTTTCTTTTTTGAAAGAGGACAACACACAAATGCAAGTGCATATGTAAAGCTTCCAGTGTTGAAGCTACTTTGCATTCATTTCTATATATAAATGCAGAAAGCAGTTCATCTTTTTACAAGGACAGGACATGTATCTTATTTAAGAGTAAACAACAAGTTTGGGAAAGCAGTTAAAGCAATACAATAAGTCACTGTTTCAGTGTTGGACAGTGAATATTGTTGTTGCCACATGTGAGTGAGAGTCAAGTTATTTCAAATTCAAATATGAGTTTGTTCCAAAAACGACTTCTTTGTCTTGAGTGTGTGCTGCCAATTTAAATGTCTCCTCTTTTTTCTTGTTTGTATAAAAAAGATAAATGTCTTTATTTAAGATAGCAGAGGAGAGCAGGAGCTAATGTGGCTGTCAAGAAAGATAGAGTGAGGTACAGACAGACAGAGAGAGAGAGCAGTGACAGCATCTCTTCCCTGTCCATTTGCATAAACCAGCCTTTGTTTGACGCCGGTGGCCGGCAGCCAAGCACCAACAGAAGGACGGAAGTTAAACTAAAAAAAACAAAAAAGGATGGTCCTTTTCCAGAAAAATCTTCCACCAGAAATAAATGATAACAATTATAACTATTCAAAAAGAAAAACACATCAGTTACTTCTCGCTAAACAACCGTTCTGCTGCTCTTCAGAAGAGGGAATAACAATTCGGAGAAAACAAAACAGCGTCTTAGAGATTTGTATTAGCCGACATGAAAGTAATTGCAGGAGGATTTTTGAGACGGAAGACAGAAAGAAGTGTTTATGAACATTGAAGCTCCTTCCAAATTGTGAATATTATTCTGTGTGTGTCTGCTGTGGAAATACTGGCCAGAGACTGTTTTGTGTTATACAATGGTATTGCATAAATATTCCTAGGCATGTTCACACCATAGCAGCTCAAGCCATAATGCCTTTATTTAATTGGAAATTAATTAAATACATAAATAAGAATAGGGGAAAACGTTTTTTTTTGTTCCGCACAGCAGTTATTGAATCAATTCATCTTTATATTTGACTATTTTATAGCGTTCTTGTGTGTTTTTGCATCTTATTGTCAGCACGCTAAAAACTTTGCAGGGGCAAAAGACACTTGGCATGTCCCATCTGGCATAAAGCTTCACAAATGTCCCTCTATCTCTATTTTCCTTCTCCATCATCACTTTTTTTCACCTTGAGCGAGAGCCGGGCTCTCCGGCGTGACCTCGATAGCCGGAATGTTTTCCCTTTCTCCCACGATGCACCTGGAGGGGACATGGCCGTCTCTGGGCCTGTCAGAGAGGCTGTTAGCGCTTCTCCCATGGGGGGAGGGGGGGGGGGCTGACAGTAGAGATGTCCCTCTCTCTCTCTCTCTGTCACACAAACAGGCCGGGCCACTAATGGCCTCTTCTTCCAGAGCTTTTTAGCCGCCGTCTTCTTTTTTGTTGTGCTCTCGAGTTTTCATTTATTCATGTTGTCCCTTTCTTCTCCTTTTTTTCCCTCCTCCCCTCTCGTTTACCCCTCTTCTTTTCCCCCCCCCCCACCTTGACTCCTGCCTGTCTCTCTGTCTCTCTACCTGTCTGTCTGCAGCAGTTGTATGCAGCTCAGCTGGCGGCCATGCAGGTATCCCCGGGGGCCAAGCAGCACGGAGGCAGCCTGCCACCCCAAGGCAGTATGGGCACCCACTCCCCCCCCACCAACACACACTCACAGAGCGACAAGGGCCGTAACTCCCCGCTACCAAACAAAAAGGTAAGAGAAATCCAAGAAGACCTGTGTGTGTGTGTGTGTGTGTGTGTGTGTGTGTGTGTGTGTGTGTGTGTGTGTGTTCGTTTAATAATAGAAAAGTCAGTGGATTTGTGCATTACTTGGCTCACAAGCTTGGGTGTCCAATATTAACCAATTATGTTGAATCAAAAAGAAATTCCAGGTAGACAATGACTTGAAAAGACTATAGGCTAAACATTTTTATTTAATACAAATTAGCCATTAAACAGCGCAACATTTTTGTCAGAGATTTGACCTGTCATATTCTTTTATTTAAACATAAAGAGGCACTCATTTCTTTAAAATTCTTTACAAAATTGGATTTCTTTTGAAAGCCAATTAAAAAATTATATCTGTGCTGGCAATTTGTTTAAAATTAGAATAACGTTTTAGACAAATATAGACATAAATGACTAGAGCAGTTGAACTGTGCACACATTGGCCTTTCTAGTGTTACGACAGAGACTGAGAGTGATTGTGCATGAGTTTGAAATGTTTGTCCACGCTTGTCCCAGGTTGCATCCCGAGTCTTGTCCTTTTTCCACCAATCAAACAAGTGTCAGAGCAACGGTCAGCTCCTCATACTAATGCACGCCTTGGTACAACTTGTCTCTGACAAAACTCACTGTGACTCTGCAAATCAAACAGCTGAACTTTTATCACTAACCTCCAGCTGGGTCAGTATGGCCGCGCTGGATTTGAGGATGTATTGCTGTTTGTGCCGTTTTCTCGGCTGGCCGCACAACGGGGCTGAGGAGAAGCCTTGTGTCCAACCAAGTGGAATTCTATGAATATCTGGTCAGCCGTTGTGGCCCTGACCCCCACACACACACACAGAACCAACATGCCCCTGCCATCATCTGTCCACCCTCGGACCCCCTCACAAGTGTAGTGGTCATTCTCAAATCAACACACACACATGGGATAAGACTTCTGTGTGTAATAATAGGACAACACTCAAAATCAGAGACTGACAATTCGATTTATTTTAACATAGTTTCCAATATTTTCCTATTTTCACCTCGTCTTTCCTCTCCTCTCCTTTTATTTCCTCCCTTCTCCTAATTTCTCCTTTCCTTATTTCCTTTAACTTCTCCATCCTTCTTCATCAATCTCTTTTTTGCCCCTTGTTATGGACCTATGTTAACCCCAGTGTCCACACACACACGTTCAGGACTAGCCCATGGCCCAGACTAAAGCATGCGGTTGACCCCGGGGCTTGCACCCCTGCTTCCTTGTCCATCATCCCCTCCCTTCACACCCACACACACACACTTTTCCGCCCAACCGACACACTCCTCTTATTACCATATATATGGAGTTGGGTTGAGGGGCAAGTGCTGCGGCCTGTGGTGGAGGGGAAGTGGGGAGGCGTGGCCCCACATGGCCCCCCGACAGACCCCATGGAGCCAAACTGGCCGATTGAACGCAGCGCTGCTTTGGTGTTTGTGAACAAACTTCAGACTAGAGTTTTGTAGCATTTTATAGATATATGTCTTTCAATCTCAGTCTGTCTTACTTTTTTAATTTCTTTCATCCAGACTGACCACTGCAGCACTCCAACACTCTCTTTTCCTCTCAGTGTGAGTGACATGTATATTTCAGAGGTGTGCTCCCCCTGTGGGCTCTATCTCAGGTCTCTAGTCATTTAGACACGCGCTGCCTGCCTCTGCTCACAGCTGTTTGGACTCAGGCGCACAACGCTTAAGTGCTTTACCCTCGGGTGAGACACGGACACACACAGCCGTGCGCAAACACACACACACATACACAGGTGTTGAAGAAGACACCATGCCAAATAGTCCCTTCACAGACACACACACATAGCCATGCACAAATCACTGCAGCATACATTCAGCAGCTTTCTTATACGCAAGAGTGGACCTTTAGATGTAGGCAGGCATGCATACAGATCCATACAATAGTGCACCATATGTAGACCATTCGCTGACATGCAGTCACACACACGCAGTGGCCAGACATCACATTTACTTAGGTACTATATACATGATGTCCTTTTTATTCAACCTTTTATTTCTACACTAAATCAAAAAATAGTGTGGCCATGTTTAGTATCTTTCTTAATGATAATAACCTCGAAAAACATGACTTTTATTGCTGCAGAGTAGGTTTACAACATGGTAGTATTATAACAAGTATTCAAGTCATTTCCATCTATTGGATATGAGTATGAACAAGTGCCAACAAGCCTACTCTAATGAGGGAGAATAAAACAATCAGTCTAGACTTTCAAGGTAAAGTCACGTCAACACGTTGGTTTTCTCCAAATTAGTAGAAAATGTGAAGTGCATTCACGTACTTGAGGAGTAAATGTTTGAATCGGTGCCACCTAGTGTGAGGAACGGTGTCAAATCTGCCTCTTCTGTGTCGTCTGCTGTCTGAGAGAATTAGATATGACAATATAATTAATATCCAAACAGTCACTTACAGCTAGAAGGGAAGAAGAGAGGAGGAAACAGAGAGGAGGAGGAGAGACAGAGAGATGAAAGGAGGGAGGAACACGTTGGGGTCCTGACATAGTTGTTGTAGCACACACACCTTAACACACACAGGAGCCTGCCCATGATAAATTGCAGAGGCACACACACTTGTCCTGTTAATTGAACCATCAGCCCCAGTGATAAGATGCAGAGCCCTGATGTCGCTTTCACATGTCGACATCCACAGAAGTGAAATACAGCCCCCACACACACACACACACTCACTATCTCTCCCCTCCTGCTTCCTCCCTGTCCCTCTGGCTCTCGTTGTCACTCTGCATGTTTTCGGTCTCAAAGCTGGAGACTGTTTCATCAGCCAAGAGAGACACAAAAGCAATTGTATTAATTCAAGATTCCAGGGCTTTCAGAGGCTTTAGAGGCCTCACACACACTCACACACACGCACACACAGACACACACACACAGACACGTTGCCATGAGATTTAGAGCTTGTTGAACAATGTCTCGCAGTGACACACACACATAAACAAGTCGGTCCAAGCCTCTCAGCTCCACTGTCTAAACTAATTCCTCCACACTGGCATAATGCAGGTTGGCCACCTTCCCACCATAGGATTTGGCTTGGCGCGGAGAGGAAACTCCCCCCATCCACTGTACAAGAGGCGGAGGCATTATCTATTTGTAATAAATATCGTTCCCAGCCAAAGCCCACCATAATATGGGTCAGGATTGAGAAGATCCCTCTCAGTTTTTCTCTCCTCCTTTCTCTCCTCTTCTTCTCCGGCCCATTGTCTCACTCGAGGCATCTTTGGGGGTCCTCCGTCTATTTAGAAAGACCCCCCTAATGAAGGACAATCCGGTTAGGCCTCATCGCACACACACACAAAGTGGTGATCGCACACACGCATAGGCACGTACACATGTAGGGGCTTAATTGGAAGGGCTTAATTGAGTTGTGAGGGGCTCATAAGGCTTAGAACGACTCAAGGAGTGGGAATCGGGGAAAGTCGGCCTTAATGAGTGGGTATACCACACACACACACACACACACACACACATACACACATACAGTACTAGCTCCTTTTTGGATCCAACTGTATGGTGATTCTTCTCTGCCTAAGCAGCAATTAGACTAATGACCATAAAATAATGTCTATATTATATGGTTTAAATGTAGCCACAATAGGGCACACCTGTAATGCTTAGCACTTAGTTTTATGAAATCCAAACCCAGGAATAATGAATATATTATTGTAATAAAACAAAAGAATACAAACTGTTTTTCTAAATAGACATAAACACCATTGTGCATATTTACTGGCGGGCCCATTAAGCTGTCCCCGGCCCCGTGTTGGGTCTGCCTTTTAATTGAGGAGTTTTAATTACACAGAGTGGTCTGTATACATCTGGCCCCAGGGCGATCTAATTCCTTCCCGTCATGTGACCCTCCAAAACTCCCAATGATTGGATTAGATCATCAGCAGGGGTGGTGTTGTCATGACAATTAACGAGATAACAGCCCTCGGCGTCGAGCGGTGGTCCACATGCCGATTCATTTAGGGGCCCTCTGTCTGTGTCACAATGTGAGGTTATTGCTGTGTGCGCACATGCTTGGATTTTGATGCACTTAGTTATACATATGACTATTGTTGGCATCAACAGCATGGACCTAAAAAAACAGCTACTTTAAAAGTTATTGATTGGTTCCTGGGAATGTGCGTGTGTGTCTTTGAAGCAGAAAGTGCTACTTCCCATTTCCCTTCACACACTGCCATGTTCACAGACATGACCCTAGTTTCTAATGGAGCACGTGCACATTGAAGTGGCAGACAGTCCTCGGTTCTGTTCGCCGTCTCATGTTGAGAAGTCACCATGTCTTCAGACTCACTGCTGTAAAGACTCAGGGAGGTGTTCCTCTGTATGAAAGAGAGGCGCAGACTGTAGTTTTAGAAAGAAAAAACATGGTGTGTGATTGTTGCTCTTACCGCTGGCCTTGTTTGAAGCATGTTGAGGAGCAGAATTACATTGAATGTTTACTTGAGCGTGCATGTGGAGCGTGCACATGCATGTGCATGAATCATCTTGACTTCGCTGTGATACGAAGTCAGTTAATTGCATGTAAATGTCAGTGGTTATTGTTGTTTGCTGCAAAAAGTGTTTTGCTTATGACGGGCTGTTTGGATCCAGGCAGTGGCATGCACCTTGTTATCTGTCCCATTGCTGTGCATGGGCTCCCGTTACATTGGTACGTGTTAAAACCTCATTTGCGAGTTGTCTCGGTGAGGTAAGGGGAGGGGTCCCCCCCCCCAACCCCTGCCTCCTGCTTCCAAATTTCTATGGTGGTCACAGCAGGCGAAACTGTGCTGTTTTGGTTTTTGCAGGACAGTGAGGGTGCACAGCCACTGAACCTGTCGGCCAAGCCTAAGGCATCCGAGAGCAAGTCACCCAACTCCCCCCCAACTTCCCCACAGGTCGCTGCAGCCGCTGCCGCCAAGCTGGGCCCTAACATGAAGCACAGCATTGCCCCCTCCAGCATCGGAGGCCCACCCACCAGGGTCAGCTCCATAGGTAAGTGGACTAAAGTCTCCATCACATACTGTACACGCACTCCAAAACACAGACGGAGCAAGAAAAGTTCAAACATATTTCAAAAAGGTGGGTCTTTTTTTGTAGTTGTGTCCTCTATTCAGCTATGACTTTGGTAGATGCAGCATTGCTGTTGGAATAAAAATGATAACCAAAAACCAAAATAAGATTAAAAAAACTCATACACATGTTCAAACCAACAAACAGTAATTCACTGGTAGTGGTGATGACAAGAATAGCATCCCCCTCTCAGTGTTGCCATTGTTGCGACTGCCAGTACCATAATCATACCCGGCCATATGCACACGTACATGAAATATGACATAAATGAATCACTATTTTGTAGTCTTAATCCATTTTTCACGCAACACTGATAGTTCAAATATTAAACATATGTAACGGGCTATAATTAGTGTGTTTGTGGTTTGTTTTCCGTGTCGCTATTTGCCTCGGGGCTGCTCCATTGTTATGTGTTTATTAGTGACTGAAAGAGACAGAGAGACACAGCAGTGAGGGGAAGGAGAGAGAGAGATGGGGATTAGCACTTTTTTTCCGAGCGATGAAGCGGGGGAATAATAAAGAGAGGAACGCATGACAGACAGGAGGTATCACCAATGAGATTAGACAAGCCTCTTACATGAGCCAGGACAGCGCAAACACCCAGCATTAATGACACAATGACAGCACACACACACTAACACACACTGAAATCACACAAAGGCTCACACACACACACTCAATCCCACCTCCTCCTCCTCCTGTGCAATAGGCAGTTAGTCCTTTTTTTCTGACTTCTTGGCTAATCTCACTGTTTTTCAACAAATCGGCGGATTTAATATCAGATTAGTGGATTTGCGGTCCCAGATGTTTTTTGTTCCGAAAAATGGATTACAGTGTTTAAAGTTAGTGTGTGATCCCCGCTGATTTATTTGTGCGTGGAGGCCAGTGTGTTTTGCGTTGCAGATCCCTGGTTTTGCCGTAGCTCGTGGTCCCATCTGTTGCCACTGAGTTGAGCCGGTCACCAGCCTGTTTGTTGTTGCAGTGTATCGTTGTATTAGGATTCCTGTTACAAGTTCAGAGGGGATAGAAGGGGCAGACAAATTGGAAAAGAGTCTAGAGGCGGTCGTTTTGATGTGGGGAGAGTGTGTGTGTGTGTGTGTCTGTGTGTGGGTGGTACGATGAATGTGTGTTCAGGTTATTTCAATTCAGACAAGAACAAACAAACAGACACGCAAGCAGTGGATGGAGTGAAAATTAAAAGAAAATAAATACAACAGGAACGTTTGTTTTTTTATGCTATTTGAAAAAGAAGTAAAAAAAGGTGGCAAACAAACGTTTTATATGATTTGCAGTGAACGAATGACTTACTTCACTATCAGAGGGAATTAGTTACCAGATTTAACATACAAAATATACTTTATAAAATATGATTTTAAAGATGAAATTAAAACCTTAAAAAGGAATAAAAACATTGTATTTTCATTAGTTCCACTCTTTGCGAATTCATTCCAGTCATCTGTCTACTCCCGCTCGTCTCACCTCTCTCACTTCTCTGACACCCACCAACCCAAAGGCATGTCTCCCTCTCCCCCCCTTACTCCATCCATCCGTCCATCTTCCCATCTCAAACCAAACTGAAGGGCTGTCAGCGCCTTTAACTTCTACCGCCATCACACACTTGTCTTCGTCCACATCACAAAACTGCAGTTCCCCCTGACCTTGTTGCCAGAGTGGTGGCCAAAAAAAAGGTATTGCACCTGTCTGTAGAGACTCGGCGCTCAGAGAGACAATGTGTGTGTGTGTGTGTGTGTGTGTGGATTGAGAGAAAGAGAAACAGAGAGAGACACCCCCCCCCCCCTTGCTATCTGGGTCACATTCACTTGTCTGGATGGTTGGCATCGCTGTCAGTTTAAGCGAGACTCGCACACACACCCATGAGCGCGAGAATATCCGTCTGCCCCCCCCCCCTTCCCTCTCGTTTGACTCCAGATTAAAATGGACTGCCACCCGATTCCATCGCCCTCTCTTCTGTCCTCTCCCCTCTCCCGACACCCTCCATTTTTTTTGGCCCCGCTCACATCCAGATTTTCCGGTTATGACTTCTGAAAGAGTTCACGGCTCTGTCATTACCAATCTGAAGCTGGTAATCTGGCTTGAGATGGCATTAGCGGTGCGGATTAGCGCTGATAAAGGCCCCATAAGCCAGCCGCGGCTCTTTGTTAGGAGCTAACCCGCCTGATAGAGAGAGGCAATAGCACACAACCTCACAAACACATTCAGAGCAGATGCCTCATCGTCATCGGCGACTAATCTGCGGAAATAATACAAATAATAGGCGACAAGGAGGAGAGGGGAGATTTGATCTTTGCTATGTGGCAGGGCAGATGTTCTCAACTGGGGAAATTAGCAGGACTTTGTAGCCGTAATAAGAGTCATGTGGCCACCTCTCTTCAAAGTGGAACTGTGAGGGTTCACATCAACAGAGATGTGTTGGTGTGCGTGTGGAAAGATGGGTGTTTTAATTGGATTTAGAGGAGTGGAAGTTGTGAGGGAGTGCTGGTGTTTACCGCTGCCAGCAGGTGGAGGAAGCTGTGGGCAGCGTGTAGCGAGGCTAGCTCGGGGCACACTGTGACTCACATGCCCAACTCCACAGTGAAGTGGTCAGTGTGAGTGTGTGAGTCTGAGAGAGCAAGAGAAGGAGATGGAAACACACACACACACACAGATGCCCCGGAAAACTCTCTTCATCAAGTATATGTTAATGTCTTTACCTCATGGTTCACGGGAAGATTTATTCTGGATGAAAGCCTCCTGCCTTCCTCCGAAATATGAACACACACGCACATCTATTTAGTATGCTCTTATTACACTTAAGTACATTTACAGTACAGATACAGAGCCACTCAAGTTAAATTACTCTTTCACACACTACTAATGAATACACAAAACCAAATTAATCGCCTCTCCCTGTGTCCCTGAACGTGTCTCAGCAGACTTGTTGTCGTCACTGTCCACGACCGCCTACCTGAGCGACCACGAGGCGGTGAGCAAGGCCTTCGCCGAGGCGCGGCAGATGAAGGAGCAGCTGAAGAGGGAGCAGCAGGTGTTGGACGCCAAGGTGGCCGCCGTCAGCAACCTCAGCCTCAACAACGGACGATCAGAGAAGGTAAACGGCTTGACATCTGTACCACAGCATCAGAATGTGTTGTCACCTTAGCAACAGGGGACTGTATGAATTCAATCTAAATTCATAACAACAGATGTTTAAAAGGTCAACTGTCACTATGTGATACAATTTATCGTGTTTATCATTTATATTTGGTCTACAATTTGATTGAAATACATATTATAATACAGTCTTCATTAATGTAATTCTGCATCTATTTCTTATGACAAATAACTCCCACTCATCAATTGCATCAAAAACTGCGTGGATTATGTCAAGAGAAAAATAATAGAACTGGTTCCAAAGGTTTACATTTGTAAATTCTCCCAAAAATGCATAAAAAAAACTAAAAAAAAGTCGTCACAAGCTGCGCCGTCTCATTGTCAGTGTGTAATAATTTGTCTTGCCATATGCCATCCCTCCTGCACCATGTAGGAGGTAAATCGGTGTTCAATGCGCTCGCTGAAATGTGTTGAAGCTAAACAGGGCCAGATAAGGTAAAACCAGAGGCGTCTCGGAGGTAATGAGTGTGTCTGTAAGGCGCACTGCGGGGCCACTTGCGTGTGTGTGTGTGTGTTTGTGTGTGTGTGTGTGTGCCTCGATGTGTGTGGCAGAGCGGAGCGTTGGGGAGACGGTAATGTGAAGTGACGGCGCCGGCTCCTCGGCAGCGTGGCTAAATTGCGGTTATTTGTTAAACACATTGGGAGTCAGCTGGTGCACGCGCATGCACACACACACACACACACACACACACACACACACATACTTACAGAGCAACAGTGTGCTTGAAGCATCTGCACCGCTGACATTCAACAGCTCTATCTGTCTCTTTCTTCCTTTTTTTCCTCTCTCCTGTGATGTGTCTCAGACAGACAAACCCACACTGATTTATGTGTTTTACTGAGGTTTTATCCACATTTAGACAGAGTGTAACTATCAGTATACTGTAGATACAGTAAAAATAAACAGTCTAATTGCCAATTGGATTTAAACCACGGCAACTCTACTGGGAAGTGAGGGAACATCGGGAAAGGCTGCTGATTGTCAGGAGCATATTTTACAGCGTGTTTCAAAGATCCATCGCATTAGATGGAGGTTTTAAGCTGTTATACAATTAAATATTAGACATAGTTTTATTACATAATTGTCGTTACATCTGGTAATAATAGAGTATGTTATCATCCAGTGAAATGAGGTGGGACAAAAATAGGTTTTCTATTTATTGTGACTTGTACTCATGGTGCAAATTATGAATTTTGACAGTCGATTTCAGTTTTTAATTTAAAACTAAGAATAACAGATGCTTTGTATTTTGTTGTCATGCAGTCTTATATACTCTTTAAGACCTTATAAGTTAAAGTATATTTAGATGTAAAATTCAGTAATATTTTAGATGACTTTTTTTGGGAGAAAACACGACTCTCAGCTTCCGAAAGCCACGTCGGCCCGTGGCTTTGTGCAGCCGGCGAGCTCTCAGCATTACAACAGTGTCATCTCTGACACACTCAGAGGATTAGTTTTGTCGCTACTTTGTGTCTTGGCTCCAGTGTCAGCCATTCAATCCACTTTTCTCATGTACTGTACTGGGGCTTAATGTCAGACTAGGCTGTCATCCACTCTGTCTCCTGTTCATCTGGTCTCTGTCTCACACACACAGCAAAAAGCCCTTTGTAACGGCACACTCAGGCTTAAAGTCGAAAAGTCTGAGGCACATTTTGTGCTTGTTTCCTGAATAAGGTTTGTGGAGAGGAAAGGAACATTCTTCATTATTTACATACAAAATCTGCTAGATAAATGCTCTTTTACTAAAACATAATAAAATGCTTATTAATGACTTGCAAATAAACCAAAAGAGAACATTTCCACAGCGTGCCGCAGCCTTGCCTTCTCGTCTCCCCGTCTCTTTAGCTGTATTTATTCCAATCTGGGGGGGAAATGATCTCTAACAATTAAACTCGGCTGGACTAAAAACAGAGGAAATGCATTTCATTATCGCCAGCCGGCTCGCCAGGGTCACATATAAATGGAGAGGGACACTTTTGGGAAGGTTGTTTTAGAAGATGACAGTGTTTTGGGTACTGCTCCTAATCGTGTAATTAAACTGTAAAACGCTGGCGCTGAAGCACTGCGGAGTGTGTGTGTGTGTGTGTGTGTGTGTGTGTGTGTGTGTGTGTGTGTGTGTGTTCGTCGACAGTCAGGTTCTAGCGGAGAGTGCCGGCTGCTTGCATTAAGCATGTAAATGCTCAGTAAATCAGGCTTTTATTGGTTGTAATAAATACCCAGGGGGCCGTGCGGCGTGGCCTCGCTCTCGTCCGCGCTGCACTCTCCCGTTCTCTCTCCCTCTAATGCGTCGACCCTCGGGGGCCTCTGGGAGAGGGAGGCAAGCCGCTGCACTCCACTCTCGCAGGTGGCTGCCAGGAGCCGCCACACACACATACACACACACCGCACACACATCAAATATACTGTATACACACACAACAGTAAACATCCAAATAGGACTAAATGTAATCAACATTCTTGCACATGCAAACATACACAGATGTGTGTTCAAGCATGAAGGCGTACAGCACTCTAACAATTTGCTGTTGACATTAACATTTCAGCAAACAAACCACAACACAAACTGTCTACTGAAACCGTTGCTGTTATTCCTCTGCTTTCTCCGTTTGAATCCACTAATCAAACATTATTGTCATTAACCGATTGATATCAGAACAAAGGGGAACATTTCTGAGATTTCTCCTTTGATTTGTTAGTCGGCGAAGGATTTCAAACATATTTAAAACTGATTTGCTGTGGACGGATGTGCTTTAGGCCAACAGACATCTAATGAGATGTATGTGGTAAATGGAGATTGTGACATTAGACATTACTCTTTATATGTATAACTGCAAAATAAATCATATCAATGAAAAACTTAAGATGCTAAAAAAATCTATTTGTTTATAAATACTCAAATGTTTCTGCATCACTGCAGGTCGGTGGTTTCACTCATTCATGTTTTCACTCTGATTGAATCACTCTCTGACCGACTGAACTGTTGTTGTTTAGGAGAAGGCCGCCCTGGAGAGTCTGAGTCAGCAGCTGAAGCAGCAGGCGGAGGACAAGTTCAGCCACGCCATGCTGGACTTCACCATGAGCGGAGACTCTGACGGTATGCACGCACACACACACACACACACACACACACACACACACAGTCATTTACATGTAGGTGACAAAACTGATTCATTATTTTCAAATGAAAGGAGAATTGGAAAATGTGATTCTTCTTACTTTTTAATAGCGTTATGAGGTTATATAATAATAAACTTAAACTTCCACCTTTCATGAAGACTTTTTATAGAACTTTTCATTCTTTATAAGTATAAATATACACCTGTTCAGCTTTGTTTGATTTGTCTTGTAGTTTATTTAGTTGTTATATTTTATTCAGCTTAAGAAGCCAACACAAATTATGTTCAAAACCATTCAGTGTATTGAAAGAAATAAAAACATGGACATTTGAAGAACATGTTTTTTTTTGTAATTTTCTTTAAAAAACCTACTTTATATCTGTATTTGTTTCTCATGTTTCTCCTACCTCCCCCTCCAGGCTCCCCCAGCGTGTCAGACTCCAGAATATTCCGGGAGGCTCGGGGTCGCGGCACTGCCGAGCCGCACATCAAGAGGCCGATGAACGCCTTCATGGTGTGGGCCAAAGACGAGAGGAGAAAGATCCTGCAGGCCTTCCCCGACATGCACAACTCTAACATCAGCAAGATCCTCGGTAACACACACACACACACACACACACACACACACACACACACACACACACACACACACACACACACACACACACACACACACACACACACACACACACACACACACACACACACACACACACACACACACCACACACACACACACACACACACACACACACACACACACACACACACATCACCACACACACACACACACACACACACACACACACACACACACACACACACACACACACACACACACACACACACACACACACACACACACACACACACACACCTCCTTTGAGTGACAGCAGCCTCTGCCCTGGCCACCTAACCCCCCCCCCCACTACACAGTGCGCAGCCCAAGAGGAAGGAAGACGCATGTACTGCAGCTCCTATTTCCCACGTTCTCAAACACACAAAGTGATTTCATTACAAGCGGTGGCATTGTGTAAGCGGCTGTTAATGAACGGCTGGGGAGGGCACGGCTCCGACAAATGATGATATAATTCATTATGCATTAAACAAGCAGCGCGAGGCCGCATGACATTTCCCCCAGACCGCCGGGATCGGCCCTGACATTTTAAAGAGCTCCTAAGCGTTTTATAACGCAGAGAAATCTGGTTTTAATAAGCCCTCTCCTTTTCTCCCTCTCGATTGCTAACAGATCGCAGAACAGAGAGGGAAAGACAGCGCGCGCGACCAGCCAAGTGCTGACAGCTTTTACCCATTAAACATACAGTAGTCAAGTGCAAATTCAGACCAGATATGAAGCACACAGGGGAAGACTAGCTCAAGATTACACCCACACACACACATGCAGGGAACTGATACTACAAATCTGTGAGCTGAGAGAGATGACAGCAGGTTCAGTGAAGTCCTCATTAGTTTAGATAAGTACCTGTCGTCCTCACCCTCATTAACCTTTTTCTTTTAACCGCTTCCTTTTTCATGGTGAAACTGCCACCATTATCCAGGTGTAAGTGTGTGTCGGTATGCACATGTGATGCCGCCACGCAGACTTTTGTTCGTCATACAGATGATTACTGCTTAGGATGCCAATTTATTTTGTAATTTTTCTGTACAGCACAGATACTAATCATTATTTTCATTGTTAAGGCTCACGCTGGAAATCCATGACTAATCTGGAGAAGCAGCCGTACTACGAGGAGCAGGCTCGCCTCAGCAAGCAGCATCTGGAGAAATACCCCGACTACAAGTACAAGCCGCGGCCCAAACGCACCTGCCTGGTGGACGGCAAGAAGCTGCGCATCGGCGAGTACAAGGCTATCATGAGGTCCCGCAGGCAGGAAATGAGACAATACTTCAGTGTGGGGTAGGGATCAAGAGCAGTAGCTGTTATGCTTTAGTATACTTTTGTAGTTTATTAGCAGATTGCATTTGCACTTTTGCTTTTTTCCCAATAAATTTGATTAAGCCTCATGACATCAGTTTCAAGATAAACAAGATAGAATTTGATTAGCACTCTTTAAACATTGAGGTTTGATTTAGATTGTTGATGTGAATTTTCAGTCAAGCAACACAAGCCACAAGTTTTAAAATGACTCCACAACATTTGTAAATGTTCTCATTCTCTGTCTTTAAAACTAAATCTTCTTATGATGTTGCTGATGAATAAATCAGTCAAACTAATATAAACTCAAAGATGGAGATATTTGGGGAAATAGGGGGAAGACTTTACAACACTAAAAAGAACCTAAGTAAAAGAAGAAAGACAAAAAAAACACTATTTTGCTGAAGTGATCACAAAAGGTATAAATCTAGTTGGCCTGGGTGGTGGATTCTGTTTCCATGTTGGAGCCAGATGAGCTGTTTGTGCTTTGGAAAACACTCGTATGCTTATCATGTGTTAACATCCCTCTGCTGTGTCTTACAGGCAGCAAGGCCAAATACCCTTGTCCTCCGGAGGGGTGGTTTACCCAGGCGCCCTCTCCATGGCAGGAATGCCCTCCCCCCAAATGCCCTCAGAGCACTCAAGCATGTCCAGCAGCCCAGAGCCAAACGCCGCCCACCACCAGAACCCCCACCTGGCTGGCCTGAAGGGGGAGGAGCCACGAATCAAGCAGGAGGTGCTGCGGCTGGACGACAGCAACGGCAACGGGTACGACGACTTCGAATACGAGGACGAAGAGGCAGGATACACCAGCGATAATGAGAACCATATCACCCAATAGGACGGCCTGACAGCTGCCTATTTGTAAGCCAATCACAGCTGGTTATCCCCACACAATCCCAAACCCACCAATCAGGAAGAAAACTCTCTCTTTTTGCCAATCACCTCGAGTCCCAATCTCACAACACCCGCCCCCCTCTACCCTTCCTGACTAACATGGACTCTTTAAGAGAGCCAAATGTTTCCCCCCCCCCCCCCCACTGGAGTCCTGATACCAGCATCTGATCAATCAACTGAAGCACAGGACCTGTCACTCACACTGACTGTTACACTAACTGGAGTCTGACGACCGAGCCAGCCTCTGACGCTCGCTGAGGAATATTCAAGTACTACTGCAAGGTTCTGAGTGTAATACCAGGAGTGAGGAGAGATATCATTCACACTCAAAAAGCAACCTTTTAGACCCGTTTGTAGAAAAAAGGAGACATTTTCAAATGAAAGACGAATCAGTGGACCTGTCAAAGGCTAACAGATGACACTTTAAGATGGCGGACCTGTTTATTATCAAGAGACACTTTTAAAAAGTAACAGCTTTTTTTGTTCTTTGGTTCTATAATATTCTCACTCAGGTACACGGTGCCAATAAGTGGCTTGTGAATGTGATTTGTTGTTTTTGTGCTACAAGTTTGAATAATAATAGGAAAAAAGAGACATTTCTTTTTTCCCCCTTTTGTTGTAAAGCACCTGAAAGACATCAGACATGTTTATTTTTAACGAGAACATATCTTTTCTTCGACCTCGCAGTGTGCTGTCAGCGGTTCATCCCTTTTCTCTCTGTGTTTTTTCCCTCTCCCCCCGCAATCTGGGAATCCGATGGGACGGTCCAGCCAGGACTGACCAGTGCAGCATGGACTGTCCCACTTTAAGAGATTTTCCGGGGGGGAGAAGGGGAGTTTAGGAGCAGAAACAAAAGCACTGTGTTGTGAGACAATCCACCAGTTTCTTCTCGCTCCGTCCTTCTATCTTGATCGCGTCCGGGGCCAAAAATCAGAACAACTTATCTCGAGTGTGTGTCGGTGTGTGATGTGTGTACTCATTTATTGGCCATTTGCACATTTGTGTAACATTTAAATTTCAGTGTGAGAAAAAAGGCTTAAAAGGTCTCAGATACAGAAAGACAGGCTTACACTGCTGCTGTTATTTACTGTACCACACACACACACACACACACCTGTTGTTCTGCCCCTCAGTGTTTTCCTGCTCCCTCCAATCAACATCGTCCTGCTGCCCCCAGTGGGCGGAGCTGAAGCAGCCAGTCAGTGTTTCTGTTTGTATTTGAATACTGTATTTTATTTTTTTCTCTTCAAACTGCCTCTAGTCTAATAATATTATTAACAATAATTATAAGGATGGTCAGCGTTTCCTAAGTTTAGTAAGTTATGTACAGTATAATTTATTTTTCTCCTCTTTACGACCATATGAAACTATGACAGTCAATGAAACATTATTCTATTTAGCTGGTAGATATTTAGCTAAAACAAAAGTTGTCATTTTTACCTTGCTTTGTTTTGTTCCCTTTTTTTTTTTTTTTTATGCATTTGTTTTGTATTAATCCCCCGGGCGGGGGGACGGGCGTAGTTGCCCCCGGCCCCCCTCCGAGCTGAAGACATAACCTGTTCATGTCCAAACCCATTTCTAAAAAGCACTCAGACTTGGAGAAAAAGAAGAACATGATTTTTTATTGTTATTATCATTTGATTTGTAATGGTTATTATAATGTATAATGTGAAGTTTCCTCTCTTTTTTTGCCTTTTATTTGAATATTTGGGGAAATCAGTTGTATCACTTTTGGAAACTGTTTTCTGTGAACAAAGAGTCCCGTCCCCGTTTACTAGTGTTGGTCGCCTCACCGAGACACAGTGGAACACCTTTGGCTTGGATGCACTCACACACACACATGCACAAACACAATCACTCACACACACATTTCAAATGAAGAGATTATCATGACTACCAAACAAATCCTATGCTGTCCTTTTTTTCTGTTTTATGAAATCTAGTATACTAGATTTAAAATCTTGTACATATATTGTTTTTGGTGTTTTTCTTTAAATCATAGGAAAGCAGTGTTTACCGTGATCCACCAGAGTGTTCCGCTGTGTGTGAGAGTGTGTGTGTGTGTGTGCGTGTGAGACGACCACACGTATCTACAGTATCTTTAAAGTCACTTCTCATCAGGAGCCCTTTGCTTTGTTTGAGCTCCACGCGATGCTACAGGAGCCATGACTACTCTTCAGGTGTGCTGCCACATAGTGATCAATCATTCTCGCTGTAGATGTTTTGCTACATGCCACATAATGAGCCTCTGGGTCTTAATTTGCTGTATAGTCACCCTTATCATCACACCTTGGTTCTACCCAATGCTGGAGAAAAGGGGACTCAGTGGATCAATCCATTTTTAGTTTAACAGGGGGGTGGGTGGGGCATTAGGACGTCAATCATCCCTGCTGGCAAGGTCTGACCCCATATCAAGACAATGAAAATGATGATGATGATGATATTATTTAAGACAATCAAAGTCATGAGTGGAGCTCACAACAAAGTAAGAATTATTACAAGTAAAAAAAAAAATATCTTACCATCTCAACTTGAAAAATCAAGAAAGATAATTATGTAAATATAACATAGAGTTATAGATTTATATTTTGTTCATAACACAGTGTAATATAAGTTGTATATTTCTTTTTTTCTCTCCCTACTGTCTCTTTATTGATGTTATCCATGCCACGGAAAAGCAGAAGTCGCAGTACTCTCACAAAAAAATGAAGAAAAATATCAAAGAAATAAAGAAAAACAGGAAGAAGAAAAAAACCAAGCCGTGGGCTGCCACCACCATCTGTTCTAAGTTCACTTTTTTTTCAGTATTACTGCCAGACAAGGCTCTAATAAAGACAGCAATGTGTTGGGTAAAAAACTTGTGCTGGTCCTGGTCACTTCTTTCTTCCACACATGCATTCACACAATGGTTTAACAGCTCCAACATATTCACATAAACATACACACTGCCATGGCCTTATTGTGCAGGAAACTTGCAGAAATATGAACGGGCAGTGAACGCATCCACACTTGTTCATATGATATTAATAAACTGCAAAGATAAATAAACAAGTAGATGGTTAGGAGTTTTTGAAAGGGGGGGATATATAAATCTAAATGTCCCACCTGCGTTTAATTTTTGTGGCTTTCATATTAACTTCCGTTGGACACAATAAAAGTAATCACAGCGGTGGGACTGCCCGTGTGTCGCCAAACAATTCAATCATCTCCATAACAACGTGTTAATTATGCTAAGTCCACCTTCTTGCCCCTCCAATCAGAGGGCCAGCTGGGAGGCGTGGAGCCGAATCACGGCCCGTTAGCAACCTGATAACCTAATTAAGCACAACAAGGGACATGGGAGGGGAGCAGAGGGGGGGGGTTAGTGATGAAATGTGAGCGAGTCGCACTAACAAAAAAAGGGAAGATTGTGTTCTCTGGCCGTCTCTAAAAAGCGCCTGATGCTGCGGTCGCCTGTGTAAAAGCACATCTTTAATTGATGCTCGCTTAAATATGTTGCGGATGTTCCTGCCTCCACTTTCAAGGGTTAAAAACACAAAACCCCACTCAGTGCGCCCATTAAAATGCTGTCCCCATCTGTGTCCATATGTTCAGCAATCAGCCCCCCCCCCGCTCTGCACATAAAAACAGTTAAATGCACTCAGAGGAGATGATTTTACGTGCTTTGCTAATTACCATAGCTTCACACAGAAAAGCCCTTTTGATGCAATAAGGAGGCACGATGGGGACAGATCCGCAGCTCCTAGCCTACGGGAGGCTAAGTGAAGGACTTAGTTGTTCTCTGGGCGTTGTGAATTTTTCAAAGCCAGCCTAGAGGTAAAACCTGAGAAAAGGTTTATGTGTGAATAGTTAAGGAGCAAGAGGGGGGATTCAGATTTTTATTTTTCCTTTATTGTCAGCAGTATACGAGATGCTGGGGGAAGCAAACGGTGGCTAGACTCACAGATTAAATCATACACACACATACTGTACACACACACACACACACCCTAAGGTGTACTGTAGGAGTCAGCTCAGCTTAAACCACAATTATCCACCGGCTGTTTCCATCACAATAGTTGGGACAAAAGAGTGAAACTATTACAGTGGGCACATTTCAACGCCTGTTTGTCCTTTGCTTTGCATATTCTCAATATGATTTAATGTTCTCTAACTAGTTCTGCAAAGCTCTTAAAGCTCAAAAGGAAAACTTATGAATCACACGCACCTAAGCGTTTGTCTAAGTGTGCGCATGCGTCCAGTCACAGTGGGACTCTGGGCGCGGCCCTCTGCACCGGCTCAGTGAAATATGCAGTTTTCGACCGTGGGTGTTTGGAAATTGAGTGAAAACGATGTCACATTAATGATTTAAAGTCGGTAATAGGATGTGCTGTGACGCTGAGCCGCCAGCTAAGCCGAGTTTAAGGCTGCGGCGTTAATGTATTCATGAGGAGGGGGGATTATACAGAGACAAGAGCAGCTGAGAGCTGAGTGCAGAGAGCCAGGGCCAACAGGCCTGCTATATATTATATACGTACAACTGCATTTAGACTTAACACACACACATGCAGAATGCTGTGCAGCTGCAGCATGGAATTAAAATTAGGCTTTATGATATTAGAATTACATTTGAATGTATTGTAATATGTTATTTATATTTATTTACAGATGGAGAGAAGGCTTTGTGAATTAATTACAAAATGATATAAAGCTGCAGCCATAATGCATGAGACAATACAGTTTAAAACAAGACGATAAACTTAACCAATAATCAGGATCTGTTGTACAAAAATAAAAATAGTTTAAATATGTTTACATATTTTTTTAGAAGAACCTAGCATCTTCATTTTGGAAATTCATGACTATCCAGTTGAGTCCAGTAGCAAATGAAATAAGAAATGAAAGTAAGATATATATTCAACTTAAAAAGCACATTAGAAATATGTGTTTCTTATTCGTTTAACCTTAACTTTGGCAGCCCAGTTAATACGCTGTCTAACACACTAATATACACACAAACTGCAGCATTATTAAAAGGAGAAAGAATGTGATCATAAAAGTCTCATAAAAATGATTTCAGCAAAGTACTTAAGGTGCAAAATATTTCAAATATTTCATCAGGCGTCCCTCCTTCTCAATTATGTTTAAAAAAGTGAGAAGAAGCTCCGTGCACGGCCATTAATATAAAATGGCTGATGCATTAAGAGTCCATAAAATAATCCCATATCACAAAGTGCCTGCACTCAAACCGTAAAAATAAAGTAACACAATGCTGAGATGCAAAATAAAATAGAGATATGCAAGCATATGGTGTATATATATAATATACTTGATATTGTTTTTATCATTTTGGCAGATGGCCACCCAGTTACTTTATTTTCCTTGATTTAAGCGTGACTAGTTTTTACAGGATTAATGTGTGACAGTTCACATGCAGCCCGTATCACATGATCACATGACAGCACTGCTCAGTCCCTGTGTCTTCACTACAAACAGGACAGATGACTGGGATCTGCCATCTGTTGCTCCTGGAGGGGAGAGGGGTCGACTCCACGAGCCTCCAGATGTTTTAAGGGAACGTTGGCCAATGACAGCATCATTACCGAGTGTGACTTCCTCCCCACAACTTCATGCACTTCCTTCACTCAGGTTCCAATGAGCAGAGTAATCAGCGTGACACGAGACAAACAATCACAAGGCGCCGTCAGTGTTTGAGCGACGGCCCTAATGTGACAGATCTGAGAGCAGCGGGGTGTGAGGGACAGGCGTGGCACGCAGGGGAACAGGGGGCCCTCGGGCTGATCCCCAATCAGGGCCGGGAAGCTGGCTCCACTTCCTGTCACGTCGCACTCTGAACGCTCACCGGCTCCATCAGCAGCTGGCCTACTTTCACCGCTCCATGAAAATGTGTGGAATTGTTTATTTCCCTTCATCGTGTAAAGGCCATGATTGTTTGTTTTCAGTGGTGTGTTCCCACATTTTTCTTTCATTCATACTTTATTCTTTGTGTCTTTTTGGTCTCATTCTTAAGTCACTTTCTGGACAGGCTTTGTCTTTAGTGGGAAAGGTTACAATTATCTTTAAATACCCTGGAAAATTACTCTGCAGCAGACACAGGTATTTATGGTGAAGGAAACCCCGATGGACACTTGAAAACCTACAGGTATTTGGTCAATCATCATTTTTGTATTAACGTACATAATATAATTGTTATGCTTGATTCCAGTTAGACAACCATAGTTATACCTTGCTGACCGCCATGTGTCTTTGTCCGTCTTCTGTTCCAAGAATCAGTGTGAACGTTTTCAAGCTGAATAAGAAACAGATATAAAAGAAGAACCCGCTGTTGCTATTTTCTATATTTTACTAACACTGCTTTTCCGCACGTGACATTCAACGTGACACACCAAGAAAAAACAGAGAGGCTTACTGATCGACTGACAATGGGGAAATTGAATTTCCCATGTTTAAAAAAATGCATATATGTATTTAATTTGATTAATAAGGTAATTGCGCTCTCATTTTGTGTCTGTCGTCAATGATCTAACTTAATGTCCTGTAGTTCGATGATACTGTCATCTAATACATGGATAAAGGATGTTCGCCCACAAATTAGATTGATCACATAAGTGGTTTAAGGATTGACATTTCTATAAAAGTCTGATCAAAAAGAATCGTGATAGAACAAATTAGAAGAGATGATAATCATCAGATGTGTAGGTGGACCAGTCACTCAACAGCAACAGAACTTTTCACAGCAAACTCGAAAACATGATGTTGTTCGCTGAGCAGCGGTATCAAAGCGGAATAAAGAAGCCCGTGGGCGCTTTAACGTCATTCCATGAAATAATTTTTTTGAGACAAGAAAAAAAAAACCTGTAAAACTGTTATTTTCTCTCCCCATCAACACCCTAATGCACACATGCAAATATTATGCTAATGGTATGTTAATTGGTGGAGTAGCTGCAAAGCAACCCTGCTGTTCAAATGACTGGTGAGAAAATAGGTGGGGTCAGTCGCAAGCTGTAAAAGCAGCTCCAACACAAATAAACAAAACCCTCGGGGATTAACGGAACAAGGGCCAGTGATAAACGGATGAGAAGAGAGACAGGGAATACAACAGGCGGTGAGCGAGGGGACGAGGGAATCAGCGAGGGGAGATGGAAATATGAGGAAGACGAGGGACAAGGAGAAAGGGAATAAGTGGGGGGAGAAGAGTTTAGACTAAAAGGGGACACGGCTAGGAGAACAGAGGCAAAAACAAATAAGAGTAAAGAGGGCTGAACGGGGACTTTAAAGGGCAAGGAGTTTGTAAATGAAATGATAAAGCAATAACCAATGTGAGAGGAATATGAAGGGAGAACAGGACAGAGGTAAAGACAGGTTACACATATCAGCATGAAGGAAATAGAAGGGAAAGTGAAGACACTAAGTGTAAACGGAGGTAGAATGAATGAGGGATACTTTAAGGGAGAATACTATGAGAGCAGCAGGGCAGTGAGCGGCAGAAGCTCAGTGTGTTGGGACTTGGCTCGGAAACCGAAGGGTCGCTGGTTCAAACCCTGATCAGACAAAAAGTACAGAGTGGACTGCCGACCCTGCTGAGGTGTCCTTGAGCAAGGCACCGAACTCCTAACTGCTCCCTGGTGGCGTAAAGCATGGCAATATCTTTGTTGTGCCACTTTTACATACAAAGAAAAGCAAGTGTGTATTCAGACCGTATAGGAATGCATATATATATGTATCTTTGTTGACAACTGAATTTCCCCTTGTGGGATTATTAAAGTGGCTTTTTATTCTCCCTAAGGTCATCAATGTAGTATTGGAATAAATGATCCAGTACTGAAAAACTATTATATTGTGTTCCCTTCTCACAGT